GTTAGCGAGCCACGGACCAGCAAGGTCATACCAGAGGTTTGTGACACAGACCACCTTGCATTGGTTCTGACATTGATTTCAAGAGCCGACCATTCAGACACAGTGGAAAACTACTGAATTTTAAATGCCTAGTGAATCCATGAGCACACAAAATTATTGATAGAGTTTGTTCTACAACGTCATGTAAAGGTTACACAGCTAACTTTAAACAAAACGAAAAAAACAACCTTTCTGTTCCATGCAGCATTACCTTTACTTATTCTAACCTAAAGACCTTCTTTTCTTCTTTTGCCATCTCAGTAATACCAGGTTGTATCCCAGTGTCATGGCTTTGTTGTCTGACTGATGCCAGGTTGTAGCCCAGTGTTGTGGTTTTGTCATCTCACTGATACCAGGTTGTAGCCCAGTGTTGTGGTTTTATCATATCACTGATACCAGGTTGTAGCCCAGTGTTGTGGTTTTGTCATCTGATGCCAGGTTGTAGCCCAGTGTTGTGGTTTTGTCATCTCACTGATGCCAGGTTGTAGCCCAGTGTTATGATTTTGTCATCTGACTGATGCCAGATTGTAGCCCAGTGTCATGGTTTTGTCATCTCACTGATACCAGGTTGTAGCCCAGTGTCATGGTTTTGTCATCTGACTGATGACAGGTTGAAGCCCAGTGTCATGGTTTTGTCATCTCACTGATGCCAGGTTGTAGCCCAGTGTTGTGGTTTTGTCATCTCACTGATACCAGATTGTAGCCCAACTTCATGGTTTTGTCGTTTCAATAATACCAGGCTATAGCCCAGTGTCATGGTTTTGTCATCTGACTGATGCCAGGTTGTGGCCCAGTGTCATAGTTTTGTCATCTGACTGATGCCAGGTTGTAGCCCAGTGTCATGGTTTTGTCATCTGACTGATGCCAGATTGTAGCCCAGTGTTGTGGTTTTGTCATCTCACTGATGCCAGGTTGTAGCACAGTGTTGTGGTTTTGTCATCTGACTGATGCCAGATTGTAGCCCAGTGTCGTGGTTTTGTCATCTGACTGATGCCAGGTTGTAGCCCAGTGTCATGGGTTTGTCATCTGACTGATGCCAGGTTGTAGCCCTGTGTCATGGTTTTGTCATCTGACTGATGCCAGGTTGTAGCCCAGTGTCATGGTTTTGTCATCTGACTGATGCCAGATTGTAGCCCGGTGTCATGGTTTGTCTTGCACTTCTCAGGTGGCCTGGGTGATGGATTCCATGTTTAGCATTGATAACCTGAAGTAGGGATTTTAGTTAATTGCATATCCTTTACACGACGTTGCAGAATTAACCCCAGCATTTATTGGCTGTTGTGGTTTTTCCAGGCAAATTTTACGTTCAGTAGTTTGCTATTGCTTTCTGAAGGGCCAGCTCTCGGTACCACTGTCAAAACCAGCGCAAGACAAATCGTCTGCTGCAGGGATCAGACACGGCACACCGGCATTACGAAGCGCGCTCACAACGCCTAAGCCACAGACACCGACAAGTAGGGATACAGATGCTATTAATCATGTGCTGTTTTGCTGGAAGGGAGACATTTGGGTGAAGTTGTGCTAGAAGGGAGACATTTGGGTGGAATAATGCTGGAAGGGAGACATTTGGGTTGAGTTATGCTAAAAGGGAGACATTTGGGTGGAGTTGTGCTGGAAGGGAGACATTTGGGTGGAATAATGCTGGAAGGGAGACATTTGGGTTGAGTTATGCTGGAAGGGAGACATTTGGGTGGAGTTGTGCTGGAAGGGAGACATTTGGGTGGAGTTGTGCTGGAAGGGAGACATTTGGGTGGAGTGTTGTGCTGGAAGGGAGACATTTGGGTGGAGTGTTGTGCTGGAAGGGAGACATTTGGGTGAAGTTATGCTGGAAGGGAGACATTTGGGTGAAGTTATGCTGGAAGGGAGACATTTGGGTGGAGTTGTCCTGGAAGGGAGACATTTGGGTGGAGTTGTAATGGAAGGGAGATATTTGGGTGAAGTTATGCTGGAAGGGAGACATTTGGGTTTAGTTGTACTGGAAGGGAGACATTTGGGTGAAGTTATGCTGGAAGGGAGACATTTGGGTTTAGTTGTACTGGAAGGGAGACATTTGGGTGGAGTTATGCTGGAAGGGAGTCATTCGGGTATAGTTGTGCTGGAAGGGAGACATTTGGGTGGAGTTGTAATGGAAGGGAGACATTTGGGTGGAGTTGTGCTGGAAGGGAGACATTTGGGTGGAGTTACGCTGGAACTGAGACATTTGGGTGGAGTTGTGCTGGAAGGGAGACATTTGGGGGGAGTTGTGCTAGAAGGGAGACAGTTGGGTGAAGTTATGCTGGAAGGGAGACATTTGGGTGGAGTTGTCCTGGAAGGGAGACATTTGGGTGGAGTTGTAATGGAAGGGAGATATTTGGGTGAAGTTATGCTGGAAGGGAGACATTTGGGTTTAGTTGTACTGGAAGGGAGACATTTGGGTGAAGTTATGCTGGAAGGGAGACATTTGGGTTTAGTTGTACTGGAAGGGAGACATTTGGGTGGAGTTATGCTGGAAGGGAGTCATTCTGGTGGAGTTGTGCTGGAAGGGAGACATTTGGGTGGAGTTGTGCTGGAAGGGAGACATTTGGGTGAAGTTATGCTGGAAGGGAGACATTTGGGTGGAGTTGTCCTGGAAGGGAGACATTTGGGTGGAGTTGTAATGGAAGGGAGATATCTGGGTGAAGTTATGCTGGAAGGGAGACATTTGGGTTTAGTTGTACTGGAAGGGAGACATTTGGGTGAAGTTATGCTGGAAGGGAGACATTTGGGTTTAGTTGTACTGGAAGGGAGACATTTGGGTGGAGTTATGCTGGAAGGGAGTCATTCGGGTGGAGTTGTGCTGGAAGGGAGACATTTGGGTGGAGTTGTAATGGAAGGGAGACATTTGGGTGGAGTTGTGCTGGAAGGGAGACTTTTGGGTGGAGTTACGCTGGAACTGAGACATTTGGGTGGAGTTGTGCTGGAAGGGAGACATTTGGGTGGAGTTGTGCTGGAAGGGAGACATTTGGGTGAAGTTATGCTGGAAGGGAGACATTTGGGTGGAGTTGTCCTGGAAGGGAGACATTTGGGTGGAGTTGTAATTGAAGGGAGATATTTGGGTGAAGTTATGCTGGAAGGGAGACATTTGGGTTTAGTTGTACTGGAAGGGAGACATTTGGGTGAAGTTATGCTGGAAGGGAGACATTTGGGTTTAGTTGTACTGGAAGGGAGACATTTGGGTGGAGTTATGCTGGAAGGGAGTCATTCTGGTGGAGTTGTGCTGGAGGGGAGACATTTGGGTGGAGTTATGCTTTACAGTATTAAATTCGTGCTGAAAGAGACACTGTGGGACAGAAGAGTTCAACAAATGATTAGGATAGAATGGCTTAATATAGCAGTTTTGTGATAGAGCAGTAACAGGAGACAATCTTTGAAATTACCTAAGAACAAAGGACCTTTATGACATCATTGGTGCATCAAGCCTGTAGTAGTGGGACATTGGGCATATGATACCTGGCTCATATTTTTATATACGAGTCTTTCCTCAGTGGATGATGTGGTCCTCAGTGGATGATTTGATCAGGATTGTGCTGGCAAACTTCCCAGGAATTAACCTAGTACTAGATTAGACTGGGTTCATCAGGGAGTCAAGGTCATTTTTGAAAAACAGACTTGGTTCAGACTTAAACCACATTCTTTGGTTTGGCAGGGAAAGCATCTAGAAGCTACACAATCATGGCTCCCAGAGCTGTAGTGTCAGACTTATATTTGTATAAGCCCGGCTCTCTAGCGAAGTTGGTTTAACCTGACTTTCGTGGCGGCCGGGTGACGAACTCCTTGTGGTCCGGGTTCACTCCCGGGGGTAGGCAGAAAAGCCACATTTCTCCCAGATTTACGGTACCTATAATGGAATCAATGCCGAAGGGTTGCGATATCCATAGTACCGAGCCAAAGGGTTTACAACTCATGGTTTCTGGATACGTAAAAAAAAAAAATAAAAAAAAAATATTTGTATAAATTATCAAGTAACAGAAAGTGTATTGATCGGCACTCATAGAAAGAAGTAGAAAGATAGAAGAACACACTAGACAGCATAAAAATTGAAAGCTATAATTACCGTGCTGGGAATTGAACCTGTCACCTCCAGACAGCGTCTGCGCCTCGCCATAGATACAAGTGCACTAAGAACATGGTCAACTAGGCAACCCCCCAAAAAGGTGTCTTTTTGGCCATGTCTATCGTACAGCTTGAAATCCACAACTATGGAATACGGACAGAATTCATTTCAAACCATTGAAATGGCACCATAGGTTACATAAATTTATATTAAAGAAGCATATGTCGAATAACAAACACAGCAACAATTTACGAACACAGTAGACCTTAATGCTTTGTCCAGAATACACAAATATTTAAGAAAGGTATTATTTATTTTCATTTTTCTAAACCAGTTGGTCCTCAACTGGTGATATATGAAGTCTTGTCTTCTTCTTGTTTCTTTGTCCTTAAAAAAGCATTGGCACATTTTGTTGTGGTTTACAGCTAGGCTGCACCTTTTGGCCCAACACATCTTATTTCAGCAACCCCTTAATTAGTTGGCTTTTATGAACTGCTTATTAAGTGGGCCGACTCTTTTTCCCTCAAACTGGGGCAGGGTATGGTGGAGGCGAACCCACACAGGGGTATCAACTCTATATGCACACCTTACTATACATTCATTAGGTCAAGGTATGTATGTTTCTGTCACAGATGGTTGTTTCATTTACTCATTCTGTCCATATTGTTAGTTTAACTCTTTTTTGTGTGCCCCAGTATAATCCATTTAGGAGGATTTGGGATCATGCTATGGGTCTGATCAACCTCCAAGCTCAGGGGTGGGAGTTCAAACAGAAAAGGGAGGGTGGTATATGGTTCCACCTTTGTAAAGAGCATCGCAGCTGGGGTAGCAATCTGTCTAGGAGAAGGACCTCTAATCACAAACCTCCATTGTCCAGTGGATAAGTCTTTTGCTCAATCATGGAGTAGAAAGCTCATCCTTCCTAACAGAAAAGCACAATAAAATCAAAAGTGGTAGGCTAAAAGGCACAGAAAGTCCAGAAAGAAAATGTAAATTTACAACAACAAAAAATCATTTTCATATTACATTTTTTTTTTTTTTTTTAAAGTTATGTGTTAGTTCATTTATTTTTAAAAGAAACCACACACACTTGACTCTGACATAGTGAAATGGAAAATGTATCAGTTCACTTGTGCTGAATAACAACACTGCTATAATCTCTTTTTCAGTCTGACCAACATTGCCAGTCAGGCCAGCAAGAAAATGAAATACTCTGAGTCCCCAACAGAGACGCTGAACTCCAGCATGATGCACGGGATGAATGGGGTACTCAGCATTAAACAGGAGCCTCCAGGTAACTGTCCCTGGTGATGTTACTTTGTATCTAGTAGTAGTAGCTTTTTAAACAACACCTTGTTTAACCCTTCTGGTTTATCATCATCATCATCATAAACCACTTCTGCCGTTAGGCGTTGGGGGGGAGGAATAATTTGCGATCCAGTGGCTATTGTCATGCTGTGAAGGCGTAGAGTGTCTTTAATGTTGTCCATCCATGTTTTCCGCAGCCGTCCTCTTTTTCTTGTAGCTAATCTTCTGAGATGTAGTGCTTGTGATGGTATTTGATCTTGCTGCATTCTAACGAGATGGCCAAACCACTTGATCTGCTGTTTCTTGATGAATCTAGTACAAGTTGTCATTTCCACAATTTGCCTGATTAGTTTCATTATTCACTCGATCTCGGATGGCTAGATTGGCTGCTTTTCTCAGGCACATTATCTCGCAGTTTGTGATTTTGCGTATATGGGCTTTAGATAGTATCCGTTTATAACCAGATTATTTAGATTTTTAAAATGTCAACAGATGCTGTCTGTATTTATGCTTGTAAATAACTTTTGGTGTTTTAATATTTCGTATAAAATGTATTAGTTGGGGCTTTTTTCTGGTGATTTGTAAGTTTGTAGCACTTAACTTTTTTTTAAAAGCATCATTTGATTCGGTGCTAATGTAATAAACATTTTGTAGTGAGTTACATCACATTTATTCAGACACTTTGTGGTGAGTGCCAGAACCATTTTATTCTCTTCGTAACAAGCCATGATATTAATTGTAATAGATGACAGGAGTAAAGTTGTTGAGTTTCATATATTTTAAGTGTACTTTTAAAATCTTCTTCTTCTTCTTCTTCTTTGCGTTCATCATCTCTACACTCTGGTGGAAAGTTCTGGTTGTTTGTCCACTTAAAAACTGCAGTCCTGCTCTAGAACCTGAGTGTTGCATGTGCATCAGTTTCACAGATATGATTCACTTGAATGCAGACTGTTGGTTTTTTGCCTCTCGGACAGATGAACTCTGACCTCAAAAGAAACTCCCCAAATAGTCGACTATTACGACATTCTTGTTAGGGAGGCATTGGGTCTTTTCTTGTTTTTCCCACACCGGGGCCCTGGAATCCACAGGGGGAAATATTTTAAAATAATAATGATAATCTTGTTATGTAATCTATCTTTGGGAATATTTGAAGTGATCTAGCATACCATTATTCCATCTTATGTTGTATTAAAACCTTTATTTCTGAGACATACTGTTTACTTTCTGCTTCTGTAGCTTCTGAACCCACAGGGGGATTTTTAGTGTGTATTGACCTTGTTTGTGATAACATGCCACATTGTCCTTGTCACAATGTACACTAAATTAACCAAAACACCAAAAAATCAAGGCTATTGAACTTTTATATTGCATAATAATTATCAGAAAACAATGGAAAAGATACAAGATAGAAATATTGAAGAAGACTGTCTTATAAACATCATAATGTTATAGAAAATTGAAATACTTTGCCATTTGTTAGCTGTTAGTTCCAAAACAGTTGTTAAATTAGCTCCTTTAACTCAATGGAATTAAACTGAAAAGCTGTAAATGCTTAGGTCAGAGAGAGCTAAACAGAGACACTGTGGGACAGAAGTAGTTAAACTAATTGAGATACAAAGGGTTAAAATCTTCTTCAGTAATCTGTGTTGAGCCGAATTAGAACTGTTCTATGTGGCTGACACATCTGACTTCTGCGGGCATTTGTTGTCTGGATTAGCCTTTATAGCTAAGGGTTAATGTAATATCTAACTGTGGGAGAATGGCAGTAAGGTTATTATGTAACCTTTGGAATTGCCTAGAAATGTGTGGTCAGTTCTTTGGTACTTTGGTATGGAAGGAGTTCAGTGAGCAGTTTAGTAAGTAAAGACCCTCTTTTATGTAATTAGTGCATTATATATATAAGGCTGGACTTATATTGTTGTAGACTAATGGACACTCAGAGAGCATTGTGCTCAACATCACACTGGCTGCCATTACTTACCTGGTCATTACCTGGTGCCCATTTTGGGCTGGGTCAACCCAGGAGCCAAGGTCAGTTTTGCAATATGCCCCGATGCTCGTTCTAAATTAGGACCTTTGTACCAGCAGGTGAGCATTTAGCTCTGCTACTGCAGCTCCAGATTGCAGCTGTGGCTTTGGGGACAAAAATTAGTGGGACATTTCCTTATTATGGACAGACCAGAGCACGTTATTATTCTACGCCTTAGAACAGGACACAATCGACTTTGCAGCCACATGTACACAAAATTTAAAATGGGTTAATCAGCCATGTGGACTGGCACCTGAGAAAACAGATCACGTCCTCCAAGACTGTCCCTAATACAACATATCACGGCAAAACTTTTGACCAAGGTAAACACCCATGCAGGCCAACTAGGCAGCTGAGGGAATTACAACAGACAGTGAAGTTCATACTAGAGACAGATATAAATAATCAATTTCAAGCAAATGAAAGAATAAGAAGAATTTCATCAACACAAAGATAGACACAGGAAATTGGAGTGATAGTGCACATCAAAATACACAAAGTGGAGAAATTTGACTGAACTGAGGATTCTGTCCAGTTGGTGAAAGTGAAAGATGTTTAGCAAAGAATCTGTTACATGCTGATGGTAGTTTCCAGTGAAAGCAGCTTTACTTGAAATTGTCCATTTGTTCCATAGATTATAGATGTATAAAAGTACTTATAGTTCATTCTTCTTCTTCTTCGCTTGTACTGCAGTCCTGTTTCAGAACCTGAGTGTTGCGTGTGCATCCGTTTCACAGATCTAAACTCATTTGGGTACAGACTGTTGGTTCCTTGCCTCTCAGGCAGATGTGCTCCGACTTTGAAGAAAGCTCCCAATTAGTCGACTCTTATGACATGCTTTTGAGTAGGCAGTGGGTCTTTTCTTGCTTTATAATAGTGCCCCGGAACTCACACGGAGAGTATATAGTTTGTTCAACATCTCATGCACTTACAAGCCCATTTCCCCAAAAACTACCTGTTAGATCCCAATGATTTGTTTGCATGCAGCCTTAGAATATCCATGATGCAAAAACAGTGGTATTCTTTAGTCCACAGATGCTCAGGATGCTAAACACCAGCCACTTCCTTTGATCTTTTTTGAAGTATTGTTAATAAGTGGAGTGAACTTTTAGATTTTACAGTGAAAATCTAAATTTCCGGTTCTGTTTTTGGTCAGAGGCATGTCTTCATAATATATTGAAAGATGAAGTAAATTTAGTTGTTGTTAATTGATGTCTAAACTCGGTTGAGTTTAGCTGAGTCAAGAAAGACATCACAACACTGAGGGCATTCCCATGTGCTTTCCGTTTCCATCTTGAGCAGCCAACACAGAGTTCCAGTACTAATGGTACCAGATACAGTCTGATTATATGTTCATCTTGTCATTCCTCTGAGTGTAGTGAGCCGGCCAGGCCCTCTGGTCTCAGCCAGGTGTATCATTCTCTCTAGGCCATGATAATCTATTTTCTTTTCTGACTTCATTCCTTGTTCTTAAAGGGCCTTGACCACATAAATGGTTTTAATCATTCCAAATCTGACGATCCCAAAAGGTTGACAATTGTTACTGGCTAAACAAATTGTAATCCATCTCGGTGCCAGTACTTCCTTTTGGAGCACATGTTCAACACACTTTTCCAGAAGTGAATGTCTTTTTTTTTAAAATGGACTTTTTGAAATATCAATGCTGCATTATGATTTCAATGTTAATTTCAGTTTGTTAGAGTAACAAGTTGATTTGTCACTAACATTTTTAAGATCTCATGTCTAATGACATCTACATCAAGGTCGTCAACTTTCCTTTTCCTCCCTTGCTTGACATGAGTATTTTGTGTCCTGTCTAATCCAATGGTTAAATGATGCTCTATCCAGACCAAGCGCTAATCGGGTACGTTTCTCTGGGTCACGAATATCACAATATAGATGACCCATCTTAGATTCCCTGAGGAAGTGCTGGTACAGTAAAATTGTAACTTTCTTCACAGTTATAAATTTGCATCTTAAATTCATTTTGAAATTGATGTCTATGTCAGCTTTTATAAGCGAGCTATATGACACAATAACTCAGCACTAATTTCTAGATGCGCCTTTGACTAAGCAACCTTGACGGACATCTTATTTTGGCACGAGGTCACTAAGAGTGCAACTTTGCACGAGAAAATCGTGAAATTGCAAAGGTTTCTTTTGACCCCCTGTTAAACCAGTCATGGTGTGCATTACTTCCTGAAACTAATGAAAGTAAACCTTCCAAAACCATACCAAGACAGTTTCATGATTAAATTATATTTTGTAAGGAAGAAAAAAAAACTACATATGATATTCTTCTTTAGTGAAAAAAAAAATTTCTTAACATCGTGCATATTGTAAGGCTGCATGCAAACAATCATTGCGAAATAACCGACAGTTTTCGAGAAAATGGCTTGCTTGTGTTTTTATCTATTTTTGAATGAACTATAGTTTAACAGCTTTTTTTTAAGAATGGTCATTTGTGAAATATATTGTATACATCTTCAGGTGCCCAGTTCACCAGGTATATTGGAGACTGTTCATTTGTGAAATATATTGTATACATCTTCAGGTGCCCAGTTCACTAGGTATATTGGAGACTGTTCATTTGTGAAATATATTGTATACATCTTCAGGTGCCCAGTTCACCAGGTATATTGGAGAATGTTCATTTGTGAAATATATTGTATACATCTTCAGGTGCCCAGTTCACCAGGTATATTGGAGACTGTTCATTTGTGAAATATATTGTATACATCTTCAGGTGCCCAGTTCACCAGGTATATTGGAGACTGTTCATTTGTGAAATATATTGTATACATCTTCAGGTGCCCAGTTCACCAGGTATATTGGAGACTGTTCATTTGTGAAATATGTTGTATACATCTTCAGGTGCCCAGTTCACCAGGTATATTGGAGAATGTTCATTTATGTAATATATTGTATACATCTTCAGGTGCCCAGTTCACCAGGTATATTGGAGAATGTTCAGTTGGAGACGATGACCTTTCAACATATGACCTTGACTCCAATGGAGGATTCATTGACAGCACATGTCAAGTCATCAAATGGCTGCCATTTTCTCAGTCACAGTGGGTGGTTCTCGCTGATGGAGACCTGAAAGATTTGTGAGTTCTTGTGATGTTTAAAAACATCTTACATTCACCATTACTGTTCCTGTTGCTGACCATCTATATTTTTGGAAATAGGAGACTTCTACTAATGGTTTTAAAGGAATCCCATGACAATAAGTCATATGCATGTAACTGGATACTATTCTTGTTTAGGATTAACTCTTTTGAGACAGAGCCTTAATGGAGTTTGGATGCATCCCAGGAATTCAAAGAAAAGTGACTGCACACACAGTGGACTTTGTAATGATTCAAACCATTGCCTTTGCATAAAACCTGCCTGAAACCTCCAGATCATTCTCATTGAATCACTAAGTACACATGTGTGGGTTGAGTTTTGTGTTTTGAGCCACACGAATGCTTGCATTATTGCTATCACCTCCATCGTCATACTGCTGGTTGTCATGGAGAAGGCGCCGTTGGTTTCTTTGGACTGTTCTGCCTGCTGAGCATGATATGAACACTCCTGCACCTTTTTTTTGGGGCATATAACGAATCCATATGTGCAGATCAGTACATCTGCCTCATCTGAATTTTCATTAATGAGAGCGTTTACCTCTGCATTGACAGCAACAAGATTCTGCTCCCGGCATTGCCTGTCAGAATGTGGCAATACAGGAAAATGTACAAATTAATGCCTGAGGCACAGGTTTCCACTCTATACCTGGCGTGATGTTGGTTAGGCTGCATATTTGCTTGATAACATCTGCCCGACCTAGCCATGATTTTTTCCCTCTTTAGCCTGTTCCCCTTTTCACTATAAAGCGCTTGATGCAGTGGGTGATTCTTATCAGCACATATTTTGAGGTATGCCCGAGCCTTCCACATCCTGATACTTTGGTTCATGGTCAGAAAGTCAAGTAGATATCTCACTGCTACACAGGAAGTGTCTCTTGTACATCCCAAGATAATGCGAATGGCTTCATTTTGCATCTTTTCAGGTTGTTTAGTCTGTTTTGCATTGACAGTGAGGATGGCTAGAGCATATTCAATGGGGGAAAAGGACCAGTCTGTGGAACAAAAGTATGAGTAGACTGCTCGATGTTGGAAGCAGCCATAACCCCCATTGCAGACAGACCTTTGTGTGATTTTTGTAACACACGGTCAACATGTTACTTGAATGAAAAGCTACGATCAAACCTCACCTGAAGTATGTCATCACGTTGGTTCTGATCAAACCTCACCCGAAGTATGTCATCACGTTGGTTCTGATCAAACCTCACCCGAAGTATGTCATCACGTTGGTTCTGATCAACACATTATCACCCATTTTTAAGAGTGCTGTTCCACATGTTTGTAACTAAGTGAATGAGTGAAATTGAACCCCATTAGGGCCGCACACTGAGCGATTACCACCATGTGATAAAAAGTGCAGTGTGTCATTAGATGAGAATCCCTCAGGTCAAGTCCCAGAAAGCCTGTTCAGCCATACGGTTATAGGGTGAGGTATAAGTGTTATAACTATTTACGCCATATTGAATTGGTCACCAGAGGTGGACGCTGGAAGTCATCATTCCTGCTCTGATGCTGTAAATAAAAGGAAGGCTAATCCAAGAAAGCTGGGCTTGAGGCTGTAACTAAAAGGAAGGCTGATCCAAGAGACTGTGGATACTTCTGAAGCCCAGCTGGGCTTGAGGCTGTAAATAGAAGGAAGGCTGATCCAAGAGACTACGGGTACTTCTGAAGTCCAGCTGGGCTTGAGGCTGTACAGTCAAGCAGTGTGTCACATAAAAGGATAGATATAAATAGTAAAAAAGTACATCTAAGTGACAAAGGCTTGCATTTTTTACTCACAATATAAGGTTACCTCTGGTTTTGGAAAAATGCTTAGAGCTGAAAAATTTAATTGCCACAATTTTCTGTACATCATTTTTATTATTACATATGTTTTCTTAGTTTCATAATTAATTTTCATACCTTGTTTGCGTTTCTTTTACATTTAGATGTATCCTTCTTATTCTCCAGGCCTACCCCACATTACAGAGTAGATGCAGACAAAGGTTTCAACTTCTCTGTGCCAGATGAAGCGTTTGTTTGTCAAAAGAAGAACCATTTCCAGGTCACAGTTCATATGCGTCTGCATGGAAATGCTAAATATATCCGCACAACAGAAGGAGTGAAGAAAATGGAGAATTACTACCTACATTTTTATGGTATCAAGGTAAACATTGTTAGTAATTGTGTCACCCCTTGACAGAGATGGGAAAGCTTGAAGGTTATGGCATCTGCCTCTTGTCTAAACAGATCTCGTTGAACTGTCACTGTTGGCTGAATTTTTACAAAATGAGGAAAATGAATGGCATACTTAACCCTGATAATACGGCAATGAATTAGACATCTAGCCTGCTGAGACCATTGCAAAGCCAGAATCCCTTGGCAGTTAGAAATTCAAAATAACAGGCCAAACAGACCATTTTCCAAATTCATAGTTAGTGTGATTCTTGTATTTACCCATCTGGATCCTCAATGGTGCTGTGGAGTTTGTGGGCTGTGCTGAGTACTAAATGATGTGTGTCACCAACAGGAAAGAGAAAGCCACTGAGAGAGATGAATGGAGGCAGAAGATATTTGCAGCAATGGACCTCAAGGGCTCAGAATGCTGAAGAAGAAACAGATCTGTGAGGGGAAACAGGAACAGGCAGATAACTGTGCACAATGAAAGTGATCACTTACAAAACAAAGAAAGGACTTATTGACTGTTAAATTCTGAGAAAGGATGTGAATAAGAAAGTGATTGCAGCTGAGCTAAAGTCAGGAGCTAAAGTCAGGAAATACTAAATACACATCGACTGTGACTAGAAATCTCTGGAGGGAATGGAAAGGATGCTGTCAAGTACTTTAGTCACAATGTTCAGTCGTGTCTGTGTGCATCCAGTCCTAATCAGAGTAAGTTGGGTTATAACTGATGCCAGATTTTCTCCTCATGTCATAACTGATGCCAGATTGCAATGGAAGACCTCATTACAGATGGATTGATGAGATCCTATATTTCTTCTTCTTCTTCTGTGTTCATCTAAAGATGTAATTGCATTGTGTCCGTTTACAGCATGGCTGCGATATTTGCACCTTTCGGCCAACACATCCAGCATCTTTTCTCTCAGTCTCCCTCTGCCTCTTCTCCCCTCCAACTTTCCTACTGTCATCATGTACTCGAGTTTTCTCCTTCTCATCACATGTAGATTGTCTCTTTCTGATGTTTTGTCAATGAGTTCTCTTTGTGAGTGTTTCTTTCAAGACATTTTTATTACTCTTTTTATCTGTCCATTGTATTCTCATCATTCGTCCACATAACCACATCTTCGCAGGTTCCAAATAATTTTTGAAGAAGAAGAAGCACCAGAAGAAGAACCAGAAGAAGCAGAAGAAGAACCAGAAGAAGAAGAAGAAGAAGCAGAAGAAGAAGCAGATACACACACAGTTGATAAAGCATTGCCTTTTCAGATTTGCTTGTTTAAACACATTTCAGATGGAATCACAAAATCAGCACATCAAGATAGAGCAGTCTCAGTCAGACCGAAGCAAGAAGTCGTTTCATCCGGTGAAGTAAGTTGTAAAATTATCATAATTTATTGCTATTGATGAAAAACATGTAGCTAGCATTCATTGAAAACTGACATCACTGCTATCACAAGTACAGGAGTTTGTATATGAGGTGGTAATTTATCTTTAGACAGAATAATGGTATCACAGATCATTTTATATATCTGTAAGGATAGACTAACCAGTATAATTACTGTCATTGTTTGAAACGTGACAATTTATATTGCTACAATCTTATACAATTAATACATAAGCTGAGCAGTATGGAATAACAAGACATAATTGAAAGACATAAATATCCATTATTAAAATAGAAAAAAAAAACAATGTATCTCAGTTATAACTGGATGGGTTGAACAAGATATTATGTTTAAAATTACTACTACTACTATTACCACTGTCAGTTGACTCTCAAATTCACATTGAAAGACTTTTGATCAGTTAACTACCGTAGGAACTGATTAATCTATTTAAAATGAGTTTACCATCATAAACACCAAGTTTGGCTGGATCTGCACCACTGGTTGGTGAATTGATACATGACAAGGCAGATGTGGTCAAGGCTCTTTGGGAACAAGCAACAGAATCAGTAGAGATAGAAGATTATTATGACCTGGAGAGAATGAGGCATCTGGGTGTAACCAGAGGGTCTGGCCGGCTCACTACACTCAGAGGAAAGGCAAGATGTACTGAAACCAGATTGTGACCGGTACCATCGGTACTGGAACTCTGCGCTGGCTGCTGAAGATCAGGACGGAGTTGTTTAGTTTAGCTCAGATGATGCATTGTTGTTTCTTCATATATGGATTTAATTCTGTAGCCAAGAATGCAACCGGTGAGATACAGTGAAATATAAGTTAAAAAAAGTAAAGATCCCTTTTCACGCCTTTCGGCGCATCGGGCATATGGGCAGAGTAAAGTAAAAATCCATTTTCACGCCTTTCGGTGCATTGGGCATATGGGCAGAGCGTCCCATATTTTTACAGACCATCAGCACTCTGTGGGTAATGTGGTCAGCATTATGCCGGCTGTCTTTACTTTCCCAGGACAGCCCATCCTGGTACCCATTTTAGGCTGGGTCGACCTGCGACGTCCCATATCACGATAAAAATTCACGCAGCCTGCAGTGGGTTTCGATCGCGGTATGTTGGACAGTGAAATATGCCAGACAGTTAAATACATGGCTCACCTGTTATTCATATCTTCTGTAACAATCCATTTTCTACTTGGTCAGACAACATCAGAGGCATCAGATTACTGATAATAAATTATGTCAGATTACTGATCATAAACTATGTTTGGAAGTTTGAGTTGACGACAGTCACCAAACTCCAAGGAATGCATGAATCTGACAATTGGATGTTCTTATGTAAAACACAAGGATGTATGAGCTGAGACTAAAGAATTCATGGGGGTGGGGGGGGGGGGGGGGGGTAGAATAGATTATTAGAGACTCAGAATGGGAAAATTTTCATTTTTGGTCTGTTGGCACTTGGAGAGTAGACATATAAATGTTTTGTGAATGAATCAATAAGCGTATACACGAGCTGCTGACCATGTTAAGAAACCTGGCCATGGTACATTGTCTACAAATGGCTGCCTGAGTTCTGTTTGATGTAATCAGGAATTGACTGTGAAAACCTTGGTATGCTGATGAAAAATCAAAATAGTTGACAGTGAGAGTATTTCCTCAGGTCAGGTCATTGATATTCAAAACTAGATTGTAAAGCAACTCCCAGACATTTCAACCTCTGGCATTCATTGTTTGAGAAGAAAGCTATGGCATGAAATAGTTTGTATCAGATGTTCTATGTTATCAACATTTTGTCCATATTAGAGATCATGTTTCCTTGTCAGTATACCTTGAGAAGGCATGCAAGCACTGAGCCACTAAAAGAAGTGCATTGCATCTTCTTCATATTTCCAAATACTCGACTGCAATGGCATACCACAGAAAATAGTAAATGTGATTAAGACAATTTATTTGGACTTTCAATGCAAAGTAGTCGCTGCAATAATCAACAACAGAAAGTTTGCTGCGATAATCAACAACAGAATGTTTGCTGCAATAATCAACAACAGAAAGTTTGCTGCGATAATCAACAACAGAAAGTTTATTTGTCAACACAGGCATTGTGCAGGGATGAATGCTTTCACACCGTTTTGTTCACCTGGCCGTTGACTGGCTGATAAAAGAGGTTACAAGAGATAGAAACAGAGGTATCAGATGGTCACTTAATGCTGTTTAAGTGGATTGGATTATGCAGATGCCGTCAGTCTTGTAACAAGCCTCCGTGTGGATGCTCAGGAAAAACTGTCAATGATGGCTCCTAATATAGTCATGAGAAATGATCACAAAATAGAACATCCAATTATTTAAAATGCTAAAGCAGTTTAAAAGATCTCTGTGTGGGTTCCGTACCTCATTCTAGGGGTAAAAGAATATCATAAAAGTCAACTAATTACTGGTGTATACTTCAAGGTCGGAGTGCATCTGCCTGAGAAATTAGGAACCAGTGGTCTGCATAAAAAAATAAGTCAAATATGTAAAACAGATTTGCCTGAAAAAAACTCAAATTCTGGAACAAGACCAGTCCAGAAGTGGAAAAACAACCACAATCATTCCACTAGAGTTTACAGCCTGTGAATGTGAAGAAGGCATGTAAAAGAAGTTGAAGAATTGGTATACCTGGAAAGTAAAGTTACTCCAGATGAGGATTCGGAAAGGCATGTAACTTCAAGAATAAACAAAGAAAACCAAGCACTTGTCATTCTGAACAATATATTAAAGTCAAAGGAGCTTAGTTTAAGGACAAAGCTCAAAATATACAAAAGCAACATTTTAGGATTACATTGAGTGTTGGATAATGACATGAACTAGAGGTTTTCAAAAATAAATGGCTAACCAGTATCCTGCAAATATTTTGGCCAAACAAGATCACAAATGAAGAACTGAGAAGCACACAAAATATGTCTATCGTTTGCAAACGTTATCAAAGGAAAATGATGATTGCTTGCACATATTTGCAGAATGCCTTGTGAGACTTTGTCAGCTCTCAGGTGAATGGCAGATAGAAAAAAGAGACATGGATGACCTAAGAAAACCTAGCGAAGGAAAGTAGACATGGAAATGGAGTGTAAAATTTTGGGATACATGGGCAGAAAAACAACAGACCAGCAGCACTGGAGATACTTGTGAAAGCCTTACGTATCAACACTGAGATAAAGAGGATATAGATATAATTACGGAAGAGTTTTCTTAACATGAGCACAGCAGTAGAGATTACTTGTGAATGCCTTACGTATCAACACCGAGATAAAGAGGATATAGATATTCTTCTTCTTCTTCTTGTTCACTGGCTGTGAATTCCGGCGGTAAGTCGCCGTTGTTCATCCAAAATGGACTTTTGGCTTTTACCTTGACCTGAGTTTTGCGTGTACACCCGTTTTACTGGCTTATTTGTTTGCAGTTCTCATTCCCCGCCTCTCCGGCAGATGTACGGATATAGATATAATTACGGAAGAATTTTCTGAACATGAATACGGCTTACTGGTCACACCAATCATCTCCATAGGCCCTGTGGCACAGTATAACATTATTGTTTAGAAAAATGGTGCTACAACAATTCAGAATTATTTCTATGTTGTGGATTGAGTTATTTCATATTATTGTCTCCCCAGAGTCGACCTTCCAGCTGACCAGGAGACGAAGGTCACAGTAGGTCGTTTGCACTTCAGCGAGACAACTAGCAACAACATGAGAAAGAAAGGGAAACCCAACCCAGACCAGCGATATTTCTTGCTTGTTGTCAGCCTGCATGCTCACTGTGGGGACAAAGATTACATGCTAGTGGGCAGTGTCTCCGACAGAATCATTGTTAGAGTAAGTTAGTGCGCCTGCTTTCCACAATGCTGTACACAGATATCTTGGTCAGCATAGTATCCATGACCTCCAATGCTGTAGGCAGCCATGCTGACCACTGTAATAACGCTACTTTCTCTTCCTGGCTTCTTGTAGTGTAATAATAATTTCTGAGTTTAGTCATACCCTGGGTAGTTTCATTAATTCTTTTTAAAAAATGTTAAAAGTTGACCACTTTCAACCATGCTGAAAACCGTTTCGGTTATAATTGTCTTTTTTTTTTTGCGCCAGTGTCATTGGCCTAAATGGTTTTTGGTACCAGTAAAAGTAAAAAAAGTAAAGATCCCTTTCCACACCTTTAGGCGTATCGGGCATATGGAAAGAGCGCACGTATTTGTACAGACCATCAGCACTCGGTGGGTAATGTGGTCAGCATTACGCCGGCTGTCTTTACTTTCCCAGGACAGCCCATCCTGGTACCCATTTTAGGCTAGGTCGACCTGTGACGCCCCGTACCATGATAAAAATCCACGCAGCCAGCAGTGGGTTTTGATCGTGGTACGGTGGCTTACGAGTCGGACTCGCAATGCCTTAGCCACGGACGCCGCTTTGTGGTACCAGTAGTTGTGGCTCATTATCCCAAAGTATATGTGAGGGTGTCCTTTCTTAACTTGTCTGAGTCTTCTCTATTGGTCCTGCTGGGAGGTTTTGTTTTGTGTAAAGCTCTGTCTGCACCATATAGGAAATGTAATAATTCCCCTAACCCACAAAGCTGTTCATCTGTGGGTTCTAAAGCACTATTTTGTTGAATGTTGAATTAAAAGTCGGCATCACAACACTCGGAACACCCCCATAAGCGCTCCATCCCCATCTTCAGCAGCAAGCAAAGAGTTAAAATTCTAATGGTACCAGTAACTATTTGATTGTAAATCTGTCTCGCCTTTCCCCTGAGTGTTTAGCGTCAGCCAGATCCCCTTGTAACTCCTTGCAGTGCCATTCTCCTCAGACCGTAATGATCTGTCTGTGACTAGGCAGTGTTCACCCACTCATACAGAGCCCTCACAACATCCAGCTTGTCATACATCAGTTCACCGCCATTTTGTTTTTAGGGCCCGGGAAGGGGGGGGGGGGAGGAGGTGGAGGGGGAGGGGCTTTGAGCAGATCTAGTGCTTCCCTAACATACATGTTGTAAAAGGTGACCTGTCATTATGAGTTTGCTAAAATTGGATATGTTAGGCACTGGCTCCACCTCTAGCCTTTCATGACCTTGCTCACTGTGCACTATGAGTGGTGGACCAGCACAACAAACCAGGACACACAACACTCTTCTATGGCAGGTGTATATTGTTCTCAAGTGTAACACATATCCAGTCCCCCCTGTCTCCTGCCCTAACAACATGAGGAAGTGTTGACATTTCTATCACACTCTGTCACTGAACACTTATAAATAATTACAAGCAAAACTGTGATGACCTCTGGTTCACTGCAAAATGTCCATCAAACTTGCCCTTTACACATCTGTTAAGGCGTACACACAGTTGCTGTCTAATCATTATTCACTGTTCTATTCCACCTGAATATACTTTAACCGAGCGTTTGAGTTCTTACAACAGAACATCCAGTCAGTTCTCCTCCAGTTCTTCTTACACACACAAACATATCATCTGTTCAGTTAATATTATTCACAATCTTACTTAATTCCCATGTTTCTCTCTTTCTCACAGTCCCACTAACAACCCATGGAACTTCTTTTTGTCTAATACAGTCGCTTCTGTTCTTGTCAGAGTTTTTCTGTCTGGCCTATCCATTCTGAATGGATATGACAAGACTCCTCAATCAAGACTGGAAAATAAAAGAAAATGAGGAAGACCTAGAGAGACCCTGCATAGAACCATTATTAGGGAAGGCTCAGTCTTGGGACTAATGAACGTCCAAGACCTAAAACAGGTGGCAAAGAACAGCCAGACATAGAGAGCTATGACCTCTGCTCTTTGCGCCACCCTAGGCTCAAGAGGAAACAATAACTAACTAGCTATGCATTATTTATGAAGAACTGAGTTTCCTCTGACCTCTAATGTAAATCCTTAAAACTGACACGTTACAGGCAAAGACATTGCAGCTTTGCTGTAAACCACAACTCTTCATGCCCCTTTAAAGTCAGACGCAGAAGAAGAAGAATCTCTAACATGTTCTTATCTCATATTTCTATTGTTTTTAAAATGCTAAGTGTTATTCTCACTAAAACCTCATCTAGGCATCAAATCCTGGCCAGTTTGACAGTGATGTAGATGTCATGTGGCAGAAAGGTCAGACACAGGAGTCTGTCTATCACATGGGCAAAGTTGGCATAAACACTGACCACCCAGAAGAATCTCTGACAGTAATTGGCAACATGAGACTAACAGGGCACTTGACTCAACCTTCTGATATGAGAGCAAAAGAGTCCATACAGGAGGTAGGTACCTGTCTTGTCTGTGTACGTGTGTGTGCCTGTCTTGTCTGTGTACGTGTGTGTGCCTGTCTTGTCTGTGTACGTGTGTGTGCCTGTCTTGTCTGTGTACGTGTGTGTGCCCCTGTTTAATTGATTTCTAGACACTTCCAGTATTGTCAAAGGACTGCCATATTAAGATAGTTGGTTACTGTAAACAGTTTGAGTTTTTAAGGTTTGAACAACTGATCAACATCATGGCACATGGATACCTGTAAGTGCTCTGTTCTTCTTCTCACTCAAGTCTGAGTCCAAAGAAGCTCAGCACAGTGCACAGGCTCTGTAGCACCTGCAAGGATCCTGAAATACTTTGATTAGATTTTCAACTCTAAATTTTGCCAGAACAGTGCTGTTAGGCAACTCTTTTTCGATTTCCAACTGCCAAGGGATTTTTTACGTGCTCTACAATGCAGACAGACATCCGATTTCACTACCCACAGACCAGGGTAAATTACTACAAGTCCAAGTCCACGTGAAAAAATCCCAGCTCTTACCAGAGATTAAATCCGGAACGTCTAGCACTCGAGGCGGACACTGTGCATCGAGACCACGCAGCCTCCCCTTACTGTAAACATTTAGTAAATATTGTTCACAGATTGTATGGAATTTAAAATGTTTTAATACATATTTTGCCAGAGTGTTCGTAAAAGGATGATCCTACAACAGTCTGGCAGATCAGTAGGCAGTTTATTTGTTCAACCATTATTGTTAAATATAATGGAGGAAACTGAATGCCTGTGGAAAGGCATTCTTAACCATTGGAGATGAACTGAGAAATTCTACTATCAGACAGACTTTGGGAGCAACAGATTGCACCAAATTTATTTAGAAGCAGAAGATCCGATCAGATTGTTTAGTTATCTTGCTAGAAAACAGCAACAACAGCTACCGACGCAGGCACTGTATGTCAGAAAGATGTGATGTGAAAGCAAGAAGATGTCCAGGGAGAAGATAGACTGATCAAACATTCCACACACATACAGAATGACAATAGTCAGTGCTGTCTGTCGAGCAAACTGTTCCTTCCAATGAAGCTTCTTGGCAAAACCAGCTTAAAATTGGTACCAGGTATAGTCCTAGGAAGTAATGCTGGCCGGCATGATCCAGACCATGTCAGCCCTCGCGTGCTCATTGGTCTACAGTAATATGAGTTTAGTGTTATCTGCCTTATATGTCACTGGTATGAAAAAAGTCATTTACTTTGTACTTTTTTTAACTGCCATTTTTGTAGAAGGCAACCAAGAAGGTTTCATGTACTTTTTAAGATTGGATTTTTTGGGCCTGTTTGCTGTTTATATATATATATATATATATATATATATAAACATATACTATATATATGTATAGTCTTTTCTATTTGTCAGTTGTTTCTAATAAGAGAGTTCACTAGACAAAACATTTTTGGGTTTTATTTGTCTGTAGGATCACACCTGGATTATTTATTTAGCTATTTCCAAGTTCAGGCTGCTTACCTTGTTTGTTTGGTCATTGCCGTATCCTTAACTGTCATTATCTTACACTTTTGCTATCCAGAGCCTTGAGAAGGCATATTTGATGGTCCAGGACTCAGTGAGTGGTACTGACTGTTGTGTCCTTCACTCACCGCCATTACCATTTCTTATAAGCTCCTCTTTCAATGTTGTAATTAGTACAGTTTTGATACTATCTTCCATTTGATTGTTTGTATCAGATTGATCCCAAAGACCAGCTGGAGAATGTGTCCAAACTTCGAATCTACAAATACAAATACAGGGAGGAATATGCAGTACATGCAGGGATTTCCCCAGACAATAGAGAAGACACAGGTAAGACGTTTGCCTAATGAGAGTTGTTGAGATAGATGTACCAGATGTTCTTAAGTTGTTAAAGATGGTTACATAACAGTAGTCAGTCCTAAGCGCTTGCTGATAATGCCGGATGGCGCTTGCTAATAATGCCAGATTTTGGGCGTACACCAAACCTTACATCTCACATTGTGCCAATGGCTTTGGGCAGAGGATTCTTCAAGCACATATGGGGAGGATACTAGTCTTATCCTTCGAAAAGGAAATACAACCTGAAAACCTGATGTTATGTTAAAGCAGACTAGGCCCTTAGCATTGGCAGGCAGCTGGTCTAGAAGGGAAACTCCAACAGGCAGACAGAGCACTGCTCTTCTGATATGTTAGAAAAGCATACACATATTCTAGGTAGGATGGCCAGATTTCTTCCTTTGCCAGCTTTCCTTCACAACAATTCTTAGAAAATCCTCAAAATTTGTGAGCACCCATTTGTGTGCAAAACCATATTGGTTGGGGATTGAAGCTGGATCGCTAAGTATAAGTAAAAAAAAGTAAAGGACCCTTTTCCACGCCTTTAGGCATATAGGGCATATAGGGTTAGACCTATGTTTTTTAAGACCAATCGGCACAAAATGGTTGATGTGGTCATCATCACGCCAGCTGCCTTTACTTCCCAGGACAGGACCCGGTACCTACTCAAGGCTGGGTTGACCTGGGAGCCAAGGTCATTTTTGTTTAAAGTCTGGCACCACCTGGGAGCGAACCCACGACCTTCCTATCTGCGGCAAGTGTTTAGCTGCTCCCCCAGGGCAACTCCCATCGCTAAGTATAGATACCCAAAACGATTTATTTGGCCATTAAATCATATTTGGTGTTTCACTAATTTTAGGCTTTTATTAAATCAGCTGGATTTGACCAAATGTTGTTAAATTTGACATAAGAAAAGGTGACACAAGCGTAGTTGCATGTATGACCCAACTGATTATACAGTTTACAAGATTATATAATACAAAATGGTTTAAGTAATTTCGATCAAGTATTATAAATATAAAACTCATGATCAAATGTTACATTTAAAAAAAAATGTTAAGTAGTCTTAAATGTGTTATCGTAGTTCTGTGGGAAGACATTCACATAAACTATTCACTGCTGCTGCAAAAAAATTTCAGATAGTAGATCAACTGACTGAAAGAGTCCTGAAGATGTATAACCTCTCTATTGTTTGTAGAAGGAAAAGGTACAAACAATGCTATAGTAGTCCTCTGGATCTTTAGGAAAGAGCCTCATTTACTAAACGAAAGCATTTGATTGTGTAAAACAGGAAGAAATAATCAGACTGCTAAAAAGATTTAACATTGTTGGAAAAGATTTATGAATTACAAGCAAGCCGCCCAGTTAAAAGCTAAAAAAAAAAAATTTATATCACCTAGACGGGAATCGAATGCGGGTCACACGCATGATAGGCAGAATAGTTACAACTACGCTACCAGCACTTAAACATGTAATGGAAGTGAAATTATATACTAATGCAAAGTTCAATAAGAGCTCAGCAGTCAAAAATGGCCAATCAACTAAAAACAAATCCGGGCCGGCAATGAAACAAATAGTGATTTGACCGTTGCTGGAGCTACGTCGTTCGTGGTTTGTGTGATTTTCTGAGTCAAAGGCAACGTTGTATGCAAATTTGAAAGCAATTGGTTAAGAAGGTTCCAAGTCTATAGTTAACAAACTCTGAAAATTAACATTTTTATTAATAAAAAGATAAGGAACATTTATTGGCAGCAAACAGCAGCCATAAGAATTATAAGTATTTGGAAATATTTCAGAACATAAAGAAGAGAGTACGACAAGGATGTGTACTATCACCTGATTCATTTTCATTATACAGTGAATATATAATATGATCTATCATAGATATGCTAGGAATTGTGGTTGGTGGTCATAACAACCTGCGTTATGCTAATGACACCGTCTTGAAAGCGACAAGTCAGAAAGAACTATAAGAATTAATAGAAAGGGTGGTGATATAAAATGATTAAATGGGCGGGAGTTTAAATAATGGAAAGACAGGAGTAATGGTGATTTTCAAAAAAAAGAATAATGCCTTTATTTATAATTAAAGTCAAAGGCATTATTTTAGGACAAGTACAGAAATCTAAATGTCAAGACTCAGGGATAACATCTGAAGAAAATATCACAGTGATACAGAATAAAATTGGACAGGTCAAAACTGCCTTTTAAAAATCGAAAACATTTTGTGCAATAAATCCTTGTCATTGGAGGTTAGGAAAAGAATTCTTGCATGCTATATAGAGCCAGTCTCAACATATGACTGAATCCTGGACAATTAATAAACAAGCGAAACAATGTCTTGAGGCCTCAGAGATGCAATTTTACAAAAGAATCTTTAGAATTCCTTGAATAGCTCAGAAGAGCAAACCCAGATGTTTTGAAAGACATTAGTGCTCAAAGACAACTTATCACAAACATCCGAAGAAGACAGTCATAATTTTTGGGGGTCATATTATGAGAAGAGCGAAACTGGAACATTATGACTGTTGGAAAAGTCTGTGGAAAGAGAGACAGAGGAAGACAGCACAAGAATATTTTTTGACAGCCTTATGTCATGGCATGGAGGGGTGTCAGCACATGAACTGAAACACACAGTTGCAAATTTCCGATTGTGAAGAGTCATGATGGCCCACGCCAGTCGGCAAGGCACTTGATGATGATGATGAGTAGACACAGCTGAAAATTCCATAGAATAAAATACTGAGTTTGCAGAAAGTGTTCCACCATCATGAGAATCCTATACTACAGCATTTCACTGGCTCACCATTTGCTGCTGCCTGTCTGATTAGATCTCTTCATCTCTCATGGTCACATGCAGTGGACTCTATTTTTTTTTTTTTTTTTGACTTTTAAATCCATCTAGTGTGCTAGATTTTTGATCTTTTTCTTGTCCTAACTCTTCTCCTCTTCCCTGTCCTCAGCCATGCCTGAGAGCATTAGCAGACAATTTTTTACTTTGTAATAATTCTTTTTGTACCAGGCTGCCCACTATGCATTCCTTAGAAACTGCTTATGTGTTGTTGGTGATGTTTTGTTTTGTTTCTTATCTAATCTGACTTTTTTTTAAATTATTTTTTTTAAAATTAACTCTTGTTCTTGCTATTGTTACAAAAACTACTTCAGTTGTTTAGGTTTATTATTTTAAGGTTATTTTTTTAAACTCCTTGTCTCATCTGACTGTTACATTAACTCTTGTTCTTGCTGTTGTTACTTTCACTACTTCAGTTGTATGGGGTTATTTTAAACTGCTGAAAAGAAGCACCATTGATTTGTAGCAGGAATTGTTGATGAGGTCCAGCAGAAACATTCCTGTGCTGCTGGAACTTTTGGACTCCAAATAAAATTGAAAAATGAAGGTTGCCATACATTAAACAGGCATTCCAGTTCTACAAAGGATTACATTAAAGGAATGACTTCTTTGGAAAGAATGAGTTAGAGTCTCCTCATGTGGTTCCAGGGCTCCATTCTGGAGAATAGAGGATAGCCCTCCCCCTAGGTAGCAGCTAGTGAGGGGTGTTTTTACAAATTTGGAGTGCCTCTACCTGAGAGGCAAGAAACCAACAGTCTGTATACAAATAAACCAGATCTGTAAAAAAGATTTGCACACAAAACTCAAGTTCAGAATTAAGACCAAAGTGGAGAAGTGGACAAACAACCAGAACCTTCCCCCATTAGCTTTCAGGCTGGTGAATGGTGAATTCTAAGTGAAGTCAGAGTAACAACTTTCTGGACTGAACGAGTTCACATGTCATGTTTGCTATCATTTCTAGGAGTGCTGGCTCAGGAGATTCTAGATGTGCTCCCGGATGCTGTACAAGTGACCGGAGATGTTGTCTTGTCCAGTGGGGAGACAATTGAGAATTTCTTGGTTGTTAATAAAGTAAGTCGGATATAAAACAGGATATAAATTGTAACTATTAATTTTGATTTATTAAGAATGTTACACTGTAGCCAAGCTGCTAGAGCTAAAACAGAATAATGCTTAAATTCCTTGGACAACCAAAATTAGCAGTTCAGATGTTTTGAAAGAGGCAAGGGCCCAAAGACAAATTAATTAAAACATTTTTTTTTTAAAGACAGTCATCATGTTTGGCCACATTATGAAAAGAAAGAAACCTGAAGTGGCTGTGATGTCTGGAACCAAGTGCCCTGTTAGTCTCAAGACTAGACCTATTTACCTAAAAAGACTGAAAGAAGAATACACTGCAGAAATATTCTTCACAGTCTTCTCGTTTGGAAGGGTGTCAGCACAAAAACTGTTGTACTGCTTGAGTTTGCAAGTTGTGGAGGGGCATGACTGCTTAGTTGTCAAGGCATTCTAAGATGATGACGAAGACACAGAAGCCATGTTGCTAGAATTGGAGTCAAAGTGGAAACCACTGTTTTTTTCTTCTTCTTTGTTCACTTGCTGTAAGCTGTGATATAAAGTCCTGGTTGTTCGTCCATTTGGACTTTGGCTATATGCCAGGGTCTGAGTTTTGTGTGTACGTCTGTTTTACTGACTGATTTATGTGCAGTTGTTTGTTCCTTGCTGCTCAGGCAGATGCACTCCAACTCCGAAGGAAGCTCCCAGTTAGTCTACTCCTACGACATGCTTGTTGGGGAAGCAGTGAGATGTGAGACTCTTATTTTCTCCACAGTGGGGCCCTGGTACCCCCCTTGGATGATTTGACTGATATAGTAATTTTACCGATCTGAGAATCATTATCATCATAACACATCAGGCATACCTAAAGATGCTCCATCTCTTGCAGCAAATATCTTCAGGTGTAGGCAAGTATTCCTTTCCAGTGGGATTATTTAAGAAGTGCCACAAAACTGCCTTCAGTATTCCCCATTGACTCTGTTCACGCCACCTTATCCTCTCGTGCAAAGCTCTTTTTGAGTCTCTGGTCATGTCATGCCTGTCTGACCTAGTTCAGTACACTATGACATCATCTGCAGATGTCAGATTTGAATAAAAATCCCTTATCATGACATCCATTGTGAACAAGAAAGGTATGAATATTTTTTTTAACTCTCTGAGTCCCAGGATGTTTAGCATCACAGGCCCAGGGGGTAGTAAAGAGAGTTATCAAACCAGCGCATCTTGCGTTCATTGGGCTTTTAGGTAGGAACCTATGAACGTATGATGTGTTCCTTGGGACTCAAAGAGTTTAAGTATAAATGGGAACAGGAGCTGTAGTGGCAAAGTTACTAGACTCCTACCAGGTTGGCCTGGTCGTGGGTTCAGATCATCAAAGAAGACAGTGGAGCCTTTGCTTCTACCACCAGCTGCATGACAGTGGAGGTCATGGCTGGACAAAGACCCTAGAATGGCTAAAAACTCAGTTCACAAATGCCTGTTTGCTCAGCAACTCAATGAGCATGCTGCAGAAAATCAAGGCAGGGTACATACGGAAACAGTGGCTCCATCTAATACAGCATGCAGCGTTTCGAAAATCACCTTTAATTTGTGTCCAACGGAATGCTGGTGTGAACGGCAGTGAGAGAGCAGACGCTCTGGCTGGTAGCACAACTATCAGGAATGGGCCATCTATGCAAAAGAGAGACATCATCAATGCCAAACAAGAGATTAAATGGTGTGAGTGGAAAATGATTTTTCACTGAATAGAGTGCAAACCCTAAGTGTACCAACTAAAGCAGCGAGACAGGAAAATCATGCGGAGAGCCACCCCTTATTACATCAGCAAGAACAGAATGAGAGTTTTTAGCCTCAACACACTTGGAGACATACTCAGGAGGAGATCAGAGCACTCACGGTCCTGTCTGATGTGTGAGGAAGATGATCTTTACAATGAACAAAGGGTTTCAATCCCCTTCTGCATTGATTTTTCTTTAATGAATGACCTGGAATCCTGTGCTGACCAAACCTACAATTGGTACCAGGAAATATCCTGCAATGTTTAGCTGAGCTGATCACTGACATCACTACACTCTGGACAAACCAATAATCTCTCCATCTCCAGCCAAAGTAGGTCACTCCATCTCCAGCCAAAGTAGGTCACTCCATCTCCAGCCAAAGTAGGTCACTCCATCTCCAGCCAAAGTAGGTCACTCCATCTCCAGCCAAAGCAGGTCACTCCATCTCCAGCCAAAGTAGGTCACTCCATCTCCAGCCAAAGTAGGTCACTTCATCTACAGCCAAAGTAGGTCATTTCATCTACAGCCAAAGTAGGTCACTTAATCTACAGCCAAAGTAGGTCACTCCATCTCCAGCCAAAGTAAGTCACTCTATCTCCAGCCAAAGTAGGTCACTCCGTCTCCAGCCAAAGCAGGTCATTTCATCTCCAGCCAAAGTAGGTCACTCCATCTCCAGCCAAAGCAGGTCATTCCATCTCCAGCCAAAGCAAGTCACCCCATCTTCAGCCAAAACAGGTCACTCCATCTCCAGCCAAAGTAGGTCACTTCGTCTTCAGCCAAAGCAGGTCACTCTATCTCCAGCCAAAGCAGGTCACTCCATCTCCAGCCAAAGTAGGTCACTCCATCTCCAGCCAAAGTAGGTCACTCCATCTCCAGCCAAAGTAGGTCACTCCATCTCCAGCCAAAGTAGGTCACTCCATCTCCAGCCAAAGCAGGTCACTCCATCTCCAGCCAAAGCAGGTCACTCCATCTCCAGCCAAAGTAGGTCACTTCATCTACAGCCAAAGTAGGTCATTTCATCTACAGCCAAAGTAGGTCACTTAATCTACAGCCAAAGTAGGTCACTCCATCTCCAGCCAAAGTAAGTCACTCTATCTCCAGCCAAAGTAGGTCACTCCGTCTCCAGCCAAAGCAGGTCATTTCATCTCCAGCCAAAGTAGGTCACTCCATCTCCAGCCAAAGCAGGTCATTCCATCTCCAGCCAAAGCAAGTCACCCCATCTTCAGCCAAAACAGGTCACTCCATCTCCAGCCAAAGTAGGTCACTTCGTCTCCAGCCAAAGCAGGTCACTCTATCTCCAGCCAAAGCAGGTCACTCCATCTCCAGCCAAAGTAGGTCACTCCATCTCCAGCCAAAGTAGGTCACTCTATCTCCAGCCAAAGCAGGTCACTCCATCTTCAGCCAAAGCTGAGTCCTAACTTCGATAGTACCACTTGCCGTCTGACTGTGTGTCCGTCTTGCCATTTCTCTGATTGTTAAGTGTTGGCCAAATTTCCTGGTTACTTCAAGATGCATGATTCTCTTCAGATTGGGTTGATCTAATTGTGCTTCTGCACTGTTCACTTGCTTCAGAGGGCTTTGATTACATTTCTTGCAATTTAAAGTCATTCAGTGTGTTGTTGACTACATAACCTATCAAGTTGAGATTGGTCTAAAAAAATATAGTTCTTCTATGGCATCTCAGTGTTGGGATTTGGGTCCTGTCTTTTACTTCTACCTCATTGAAGTGAGGGCTGTTTAGATTTATACAATAAATAAACTTTCGTTTTGTTTTTTGAAAGGTTAATGGTTGGTGCTGGAGCTATGGTTTCATGTTTAATATCATGCTTCAGTAGATAAATAACTGCAGTCCAGAGATGAACTGTACTATATGTGATATTACCTGGTGCAACAAAGTCAGTCTTATCGGATTTAGACCTCTTTTAAACTTTTATTTGAAAATTGTTCTCAGGATCGTATTTTTATGGAGAATGTTGGAGCAGTTAAAGAACTGTGCAAGTTGACGGACAATCTTGAAGTGCGTATCGACCAGTTAGAAAAGATGAACAAGAAATTGGGAAAACTGAAACGATTTGACAGCCTGAAATCCACAAGCAGCACCTTCAGTGCCAAGTCTATTTCAACAGTGAGCTGTTCAAGGTCAGTCTGCCATTTTGTCATCTTATTATTCTGTGTTCTTCTTCTGCTGCTTGGTGGAAGGTCCTGGTTGTTCGCCACTTCTGGAATTAAGACTTGTTCCATGACTTCAATTGTGCATGCACATCTGTTTTACAGATCTGATTTACAGGTGTGTGAAAACTGTTGGTTCCTTGCAGTCTGACTTTGAAGGAAACGTTGATCCTGTCCACATTTTCTCCAGTTGGGAACCTGTTTTTAGAATGACCTCGGAGAAGTGTAGAGGTGTCTTGACCAGCATGACCTCAGAGAAGTGTAGAGGTGTCTTGACCAGCATGACCTCAGAGAAGTGTAGAGGTGTCTTGACCAGCATGACCTCAGAGAAGTGTAGAGGTGTCTTGACCAGCATGACCTCAGAGAAGTGTAGAGGTGTCTTGACCAGCATGACCTCAGAGAAGTGTAGAGGTGTCTTGACCAGCATGACCTCAGAGAAGTGTAGAGGTGTCTTGACCAGCATGACCTCAGAGAAGTGTAGAGGTGTCTTGACCAGCATGACCTCAGAGAAGTGTAGAGGTGTCTTGACCAGCATGACCTCAGAGAAGTGTAGAGGTGTCTTGACCAGCATGACCTCAGAGAAGTGTAGAGGTGTCTTGACCAGCATGACCTCAGAGAAGTGTAGAGGTGTCTTGACCAGCATGACCTCAGAGAAGTGTAGAGGTGTCTTGACCAGCATGACCTCAGAGAAGTGTAGAGGTGTCTTGACCAGCATGACCTCAGAGAAGTGTAGAGGTGTCTTGACCAGCATGACCTCAGAGAAGTGTAGAGGTGTCTTGACCAGCATGACCTCAGAGAAGTGTAGAGGTGTCTTGACCAGCATGACCTCAGAGAAGTGTAGAGGTGTCTTGACCAGCATGACCTCAGAGAAGTGTAGAGGTGTCTTGACCAGCATGACCTCAGAGAAGTGTAGAGGTGTCTTGACCAGCATGACCTCAGAGAAGTGTAGAGGTGTCTTGACCAGCATGACCTCAGAGAAGTGTAGAGGTGTCTTGACCAGCATGACCTCAGAGAAGTGTAGAGGTGTCTTGACCAGCATGACCTCAGAGAAGTGTAGAGGTGTCTTGACCAGCATGACCTCAGAGAAGTGTAGAGGTGTCTTGACCAGCATGACCTCAGAGAAGTGTAGAGGTGTCTTGACCAGCATGAGCCCTGCTCTGGATGCACCCCCACATTTGGTTCAGCAGCTCTGCATCATATTCTACATATTTCAGTGCAGGTGCTCATGATTTGCCATCTCAAAACAATCATCATAGTCATGGATAAGGTCAGTGTTCTTGTCGCATCCAAACCATGTGGCAGAGCAACCCAGGTAAGTTTCTCTTTGCCTTCTTCTTGCTCATTTTTCTGCCGAGGTTTCCAAATTTTCAATTGTCTCCCCACTGGACAAGACAACATCTCCAGTCACTTGTACAGCATCTGGGAGGACATCTAGAATCTCCTGAGCCAGCACTCCTAGAAATTATAGCAAACATGAAATGTGAACTCGTTTAGTCCAGAAAGTTGTTACTCTGGCTTCTTCAGTTAGAATTCACCTATTCATCAGCACTCAACTCTGGGGGAAAATTCTGGTTGTTTGTCCACTTCTCCACTTTGGTCTTAATTCTGAACTTGAGTTATGATTTTCCCATTATGATTTTCCAGTCATTGCTTGTAGTAAAGATCCATGTTTGAAATTTGTAGCATAATGTTGTCCAAAAAAGTAGTTCTGTCTATCAAACCAGTGTTTGCCCATTGTGAATTTGAACCCCCCAAAAAAAGACACAACTAATAGCTTGCACAATTTGTTGTCTGTAGTATACCTGGCAAGATACAGCAAAAATATACCCGGTAATAACTCGTGCAATCTGTTTATGTTTCTTTGTTCAAATTCTATGTTGAATTTCTCTAATCTGTTATGGTTTTCAGTTGTCTTGAAAAAGACTGCCTTATCAGTTTTTCTGTTAGTATATTTCCTGCTATTAAGTCAGCCGGTTACCTTTACATTATCAGTCATGATCAGCCTTTCTAGTGTCAAGGCTCTTTCCCTTGAATCCCAACTGTTGCTTCCTGTGTTCCCACATAAAAAAAAAAAAAAAAATATTTGGTCAGAATGTAGCACAAGAAATCTGTCTTCAAGGAACATGTCTAGTAAAAGGTAGTACTAGTAGCAGTTGTAGTAGTAGAGGTTTCAACTTCTCTGAAATTGGGTCATCGCCTACTTGCCTGTTTCCTGTGCCAGTGAAAATCAAATGAATTGATCCTCACTGTCCCATTTGAAAACCTAGTGAACAAACAATTAGTCCTGACACAATCCAGAAATATGTGCATGCTGTTAATGCATAAGGCAAATGCTAGTGGCTGGAGTAAGAGATGAAGGACCCTTTTCACGCTTTTGGTACATCAGGAATATAGTTCTAGACCCACATTTGTATAAACCAGTTGGCAGTCAGAATGATTTGGTTAACATCATCACTGTTGTCATTCAGATGTGACAGGTTCAGATCCCAGTATATCATTTAGTTTGTAGTTTGTCTTTTGTGTCCTCCTTTTTTTACTTGTTTCCATTGGTTCTTTGAATACTAGTCAATACTTGCGATGTAATAGTGACTTAACCCACCAGGAGACTAAGATTTTAATACAAGCTAGTGTCCAGTAAAGGTGGCTGGATACCCACACCAAATTTTCTTCTCAAGACTTGCTTCATCGCCTTTTTAGAGAGGGACAGTGTGTTATATTCAGACTAAGGAGAAGGCACAACAGACTTTGCCAACATATGTTCAAACTTTTTGGTGTAGGAGACACGAAGATGTGACCCTCCAAACTTGGCACCAGAAAATACTGAGCCTGTACGCCAACACTGTCAACTGTATGCTGCCAACACTGTCAACTGTATGCTGCCAACACTGTCAACTGTATGCTGCCAACACCGTCAACTGTATGCTGCCAACACTGTCAACTGTATGCTGCCAACACTGTCAACTGTATGCTGCCAACACTGTCAACTATATGCTGCCAACACTGTCAACTGTATGCTGCCAACACTGTCAACTATATGCTGCCAACACTGTCAACTGTATGCTGCCAACACTGTCAACTATATGCTGCCAACACTGTCAACTGTATGCTGCCAACACTGTCAACTGTATGCTGCCAACACTGTCAACTATATGCTGCCAACACTGTCAACTGTATGCTGCCAACACCGTCAACTGTATGCTGCCAACACTGTCAACTGTATGCTGCCAACACCGTCAACTGTATGCTGCCAACACCGTCAACTGTATGCTGCCAACACCGTCAACTGTATGCTGCCAACACTGTCAACTGTATGCTGCCAACACCGTCAACTGTATGCTGCCAACACCGTCAACTGTATGCTGCCAACACTGTCAACTGTATCCTGCCAACACCGTCATCTTATGCTGCCAACACTGTCAACTGTATCCTGCCCACACCGTCATCTTATGCTGCCAACACTGTCAACTGTATCCTGCCCACACCGTCATCTTATGCTGCCAACACTGTCAACTGTATCCTGCCCACACCGTCATCTTATGCTGCCAACACCGTCAACTGTATGCTGCCAACACCGTCAACTGTATGCTGCCAACACTGTCAACTGTATGCTGCCAACACCGTCAACTGTATGCTGCCAACACTGTCAACTGTATGCTGCCAACACTGTCAACTGTATGCTGCCAACACCATCAACTGTGTGCTGCCAACACCATCAACTGTGTGCTGCCAACACCATCAACTGTATGCTGCCAACACCGTCAACTGTATGCTGCCAACACTGTCAAGTGTATGCTGCCAACACTGTCAAGTGTATGCTGCCAACACTGTCAACTGTATGCTGCCAACACTGTCAACTGTATGCTGCCAACACTGTCAACTGTATGCTGCCAACACTGTCAACTGTATGCTGCCAACACTGTCAACTGTATGCTGCCAACACTGTCAACTGTATGCTGCCAACACTGTCAACTGTATCCTGCCCACACTGTCAACTGTATGCTGCCAACACTGTCAACTGTATGCTGCCAACACTGTCAACTGTATGCTGCCAACACTGTCAACTGTATGCTGCCCACACCGTCAACTGTATCCTGCCAACACTGTCAACTGTATGCTGCCAACACTGTCAACTGTATGCTGCCCACACTGTCAACTGTATCCTGCCAACACTGTCAACTGTATGCTGCCAACACTGTCAACTGTATGCTGCCAACACTGTCAACTGTATGCTGCCCACACTGTCAACTGTATCCTGCCAACACTGTCAACTGTATGCTGCCCACACTGTCAACTGTATGCTGCCAACACTGTCAACTATATGCTGCCAACACTGTCAACTGTATGCTGCCAACACTGTCAAGTGTATGCTGCCAACACTGTCAACTGTATGCTGCCAACACTGTCAACTGTATGCTGCCAACACTGTCAACTGTATGCTGCCAACACTGTCAACTGTATGCTGCCAACACTGTCAACTGTATGCTGCCAACACTGTCAAGTGTATGCTGCCAACACTATCAACTGTATCCTGCCAACACTGTCAACTGTATGCTGCCAACACTGTCAGCTGTATGCTGCCAACACTGTCAACTGTATGCTGCCAACACTGTCAACTGTATGCTGCCAACACTGTCAACTGTATGCTGCCAACACTGTCAACTGTATGCTGCCAACACTGTCAACTGTATGCTGCCAACACTGTCAAGTGTATGCTGCCAACACCGTCAACTGTATGCTGCCAACACTGTCAACTGTATGCTGCCAACACCGTCAAGTGTATGCTGCCAACACTGTCAACTGTATGCTGCCAACACTGTCAAGTGTATGCTGCCAACACTGTCAAGTGTATGCTGCCAACACTGTCAAGTGTATGCTGCCAACACTGTCAAGTGTATGCTGCCAACACTGTCAAGTGTATGCTGCCAACACTGTCAACTGTATGCTGCCAACACTGTCAACTGTATGCTGCCAACACTGTCAACTGTATGCTGCCAACACTGTCAACTGTATGCTGCCAACACTGTCAACTGTATGCTGCCAACACTGTCAAGTGTATGCTGCCAACACTGTCAACTGTATGCTGCCAACACTGTCAAGTGTATGCTGCCAACACTGTCAACTGTATGCTGCCCACACTGTCAACTGTATGCTGCCAACACTGTCAACTGTATGCTGCCAACACTGTCAAGTGTATGCTGCCAACACTGTCAAGTGTATGCTGCCAACACTGTCAACTGTATGCTGCCAACACTGTCAACTGTATGCTGCCAACACTGTCAACTGTATGCTGCCAACACTGTCAACTGTATGCTGCCAACACTGTCAACTGTATGCTGCCAACACTGTCAACTGTATGCTGCCAACACCGTCAACTGTATGCTGCCAACACTGTCAACTGTATGCTGCCAACACCGTCAACTGTATGCTGCCAACACCGTCAACTGTATGCTGCCAACACTGTCAAGTGTATGCTGCCAACACTGTCAAGTGTATGCTGCCAAAACTGTCAGTTGTATGTTTTCAACACTGTCAACTGTATGCAGCCAACAGAGACACAATCTGACCCGTTCCCACCTCACTGAAGACAAAGCCGTATGGTACACGGGGAGATATGGACTACAAGATAGCTTTCATAAAGGCTACAACCTCCTGATACAAGTTTTCTGACAGAATGATCAAAGAAGATGAAGAAGAAAAAGAAGAATATTTGTAAATGTATTTATTATGCGTTTTCAGTCGCCCTCTGGTTCTACATTTGAAACCACTTGAAGGGAGATTTTTAACAAAGGGCATGGGCTACCAGTTGATCCAGTCAACAATGAATACCAGGGAATATCATGGGAAGTCAGCACATCACCCAGTCAGTGCTGATTGCTGTTAAAGGAGTGCTGCTTCAGCACTGTATGCCCTTTTCACCTAAAAAGTTAAGCACTCTATGCCCTATTCACCTAAAAAGTTAAGCACTATATGCCCTATTCACCTAAAAAGTTTAGAACTGTATGCCCTTTTCACCTAAAAAGTTAAGCACTATATGCCGTATTCACCTAAAAAGTTGATCACTCTATGCCGTATTCACCTAAAAAGTTAAGCACTCTATGCCGTATTCACCTAAAAAGTTTAGAACTGTATGCCCTTTTCACCTAAAAAGTTAAGCACTCTATGCCGTATTCACCTAAAAAGTTAAGCCCTATATGCCGTATTCACCTAAAAAGTTGATCACTCTATGCCGTATTCACATAAAAGTTTAGAACTGTATGCCCTTTTCACCTAAAAAGTTAAGCACTATATGCCGTATTCACCTAAAAAGTTAAGCACTCTATGCCGTATTCACCTAAAAAGTTTAGAACTGTATGCCCTTTTCACCTAGAAAGTTAAGCACTCTATGCCCTGTTTGCCTAAATACATGGAAATGAGACTTACATTTTCTTTTAGCAAGCAGTAAGTAAATAAAAGGCCCTTATCACATCAAAGGCACATTGCACAAATTCTATGTATGTTGTTGAAAAGTAAAGGACCTTTAGGGATATAAGGTATATAAGACTAGACCTATGTTTCATAGACCAGCTGGCACTCAATGGGTTATGGGATCAACCTCATGCTGGCTGCCTTGATTTCCCAGAACTTTACCTGGTACCCATTTAAGGCTGGGTCAACCTGGGAGCCAAGGCCAATTTTGTTTTTAAGTCTGGCTTTGTCGGATATGCAAGTGAGCATCTAGCTACTACACCACAGTGGCCCCTGTATGTTATGCTAGAATAATTTGTATGTAGGTCAATCAGTTATTCAGTGGGTAATATGGTCAGCATTAATATTGCCACTTATACTTTCGAGGAGAATTCAAGTACCCATAGGTCGATCTGGGACCGAAGGTCAATTTTGAAAAGAAATCCACCGTAATGCGGATTGGAATCCAAGTCCTTAAGGTGATCATTTAGCCATTGCGGCACCATGGTTCCCACATAATCTTTTTACAATGTCTTTTATATTGTGTTTATTTTCAGCTCCGTTGCCCCAAAGAATTGTAACAGCAACTCAAATCAGGGAATAGGTGGAAGTACTTTCGGAGGTAGCCAGCATAACAGCACCAGTAGATGCAGCAGTCACGTGAAAAGTTTGAAAGGCAGCAGGTCAACTCTGGGCAGTTTTGTGATCTGGCCGTTCAAGAATAAATGCACCAGCTGGATCAGATACCTTATCATTGGTTTGATTGTGCTGATGCTCTTGTGGTGAGTAACATTCTTTCTGTCACATGCAATTTTAATGTATTTATTCATGTTTGTAACTGACTCAGAAAGCATGCTGAGGAAGGTCAGGACAGACATGCTTTGTGCAGAGTGGCATGCTTCGCTGCGGAGGACACGGGTCAGGAGTTTTGTCTGGATTTTTTTCAGCAGGAAACGCCAGTGTGTTAGGAAATGAACAGACGGACAGACTGGCTGGCTCTGCACAACTTGGTGGAATACTGATACATGATAAGGCAGACGTGGTTAGTGCCTTGTGGGAGAGCGTGTACAGTTCGGAGGAGCAGATGGATCACCAGTCTGGTGAGATTGATGCAAGGGGAAGTGACGAGAGGTTCTGGCAGATGCTCGAGGCTCAGAGGAAAGGCGAGACGGACGTTTAATCAGAATGGTACTGGCACAATTAGTATCAGAACTCTTCACTGACTGCTGAAGATGCGGACAGAGCGCTTATTTGAATACCCTGAGTGCTGTGATGTCGGTTCTTGGATCAGCTCGACTCAACTCTATGTATTCATTCAAATATTAAAATGGGGGCTAAGCAAATGTTCTTTATTTCTTCATTACTTTATTTAATTCACCCCAAACAAAGGAAATCCTGGAGTTCCCTGGAGAGTGCAGTATTCTAGGGGTATTATGGGTTAGGTTTATGGGTCAAGGTTAGGGTTACAGTTTGGGGGTTTGAGTTAGTTGGTGTTCCTGAGTCGGTCGGGGCTGACAAAGATCCTAACCCCTACCCATAACACCCCTATACTAATGGACTGTCCCGGAAACTCTAAGATTTCATTTGTTTGGGGTGAATTAAAAATAGAGGATTTGAGTAAGTCTTGGAGAAGTAAACACAGCATTCAAGATATTGATCACACGCTGGCTGGTTAAACTATTAAAAAACTCGGTACCAAGGAATGCATTATGCATTGATTCGTAACTAATTTATCTACCCTGTGGGACTGAAAGAATTTAAATATTCAAGGTTAAAGAGCACTGACTTCATTATACCAGGTTCTATCCCATATGGCTCAGTCTTTCTCTGCAGAACAGGTAACTGCCTGTCTGCGGATAGTTTTCACACACAGCTCCAACACTGTTTAGCAAATTGTGCATTAAAAGTCGGACTAAGCAAAAGTAATAAAAAGACAAATGTACTGAAAACGCCAAAAGCGACCGAGCTTAAAAAACACTAGAGACAAAAGGAATTAAAGCAACGAATCATTTTACTAATTTAGGTAGTAATTTCGATAGTGAAGGAAATAAAATAAAAAATGTTTAAATTGATGCACATTTGGAAAGGCATCAGCAACTTTTAAAATACTGAACAAAATTTGAAACTCTAAATTGTTTCGTTTTAAAACAAAATTAAGTATTTCCAATTTTTAATGTTATTTCGGTTTTAATATATACCATGCAAAGTTAAAGAATTATTAAAAACATGGAAAGAAAGTTAAATGCATTTGAAAACAAATGTCTGAGGAAAATGTTGAACATAAAATAGTGGGAACTGAAAAGGGGGGGGGGGGTGGGAGGGTGGGGGATGAAGGGATAAGAAACATGTCTGAGCAACCACTGGTAACAACAATTGTAAGACAAAGAAGAAGTGGCTACATTGGACATATCCTGACTCAGAGGAAAGGCAAGACGGACATATAACCAGACTGTAACAGGTACCATCAGCATTGGAACTCTGCGCTGGTTGCTGCAGATGAGAACAGAGCATGCATGAGAATTCCCCGAGTGCTGTGATGTCAATTCTTGACTCAACTCAACTGGATGTATCCTGAGAAGAAACAACCAGAGAATCACCACACAGGCACACAAATTGGAAATAAAGGATTGAGGCAGCGAGAACATCCATGATGTCCAAAAGAAACCCTAAAACAAATGTTGGTGAGAGGCCAAAGGTGCTGGATGCCACCCATGATGTCAAAGAGATCATACATAATGGGGAAATAGACTGTGAGTCCTATGTAGTAGTAGTAATGTTTGAAAAATATCCTGTTCAACCCTCAGGGTCATAACTGGATCTATTGTGTTAACTGAGTTGTGAGAGTATATAGTTGTTATTTTAAATTTATGTATCTTGTAATTATTTATATGACTAAAAAATAATTTGTATTGTTTCACATTTTGCTTTGGTTTGGGTTCTGATTATGATAGAAATTGTTCTGTGAAAATCTTACTAACATTGCATCATTAACATGGTAGATATATTGTTTCCTTAGTGTGCAATCGTTGATTTTATCTTTCTTTAGCATAAACTACTTCAAAGATGCCATAGGCATTCTTGGCCCTTCTATATGTGGATTTTAGTTCTAGCAATAAATGGCTTGACCTTGCCATGCTGCTCTCTGCGGCTGTATGTGACCTAGCCACGCAGCTCTCTGGGGCTGTATGTGACCTAGCCACGCAGCTCTCTGGGGCTGTATGTGACCTAGCCATGCAGCTCTCTGGGGCTGTATGTGACCTAGCCACGCAGCTATCTGAGGCTGTATATGACCTAGCCATGCAGCTCTCTGGGGCTGTATGTGACCTAGCCACGCAGCTCTCTGGGGCTGTATGTGACCTAGCCACACAGCTCTCTGGGGCTGTATGTGACATAGCCACGCAGCTCTCTGGGGCTGTATGTGACCTAGCCACGCAGCTGTCTGGGGCTGTATGTGACCTAGCCATGCAGCTCTCTGGGGCTGTATGTGACCTAGCCACGCAGCTATCTGAGGCTGTATATGACCTAGCCATGCAGCTCTCTGGGGCTGTATGTGACCTAGCCACGCAGCTCTCTGGGGCTGTATGTGACCTAGCCACACAGCTCTCTGGGGCTGTATGTGACATAGCCACGCAGCTCTCTGGGGCTGTATGTGACCTAGCCACGCAGCTCTCTGGGGCTGTATGTGACCTAGCCACGCAGCTCTCTAGGGCTGTATGTGACCTAGCCACGCAGCTCTCTGGAGCTGTTTATAGGCAGCAAGTTTTCCATCATCATAGGTCATTTACACAGATTCATATAGTCAGTTAATGGTTTCCTTTGGTTTTTATATTTCCTACACTCCAGAGCAAATAGTGCTCTATATTATTGAATAGAATTGTATCTCTTGTGGTGTATTATGTAATTTATCCCTACAAACCCTATGTGAAATATAATGGCACAACAGGACAATGATGTTGATGATGATGATGATCATTCCAGTTATTGTAAAACCAGCGCAAGGTTTTCTCTATAGTCTTATCTGACCATTTCAGTACTCATATTCTTGACACTTGTGATGTCTGATCTAATTAGATGACCGAACCATCTTATTCTATGTCTGTCTATCTAATCAGTGTATGATGCTGCTCTTACCATTTGTCTGACATCATTTCTTAATCTGTCTATTCTGGTTAATATGAAAACTCTTCTTAGTCAGAGTAGCTGAAGCAGTATTTATGCCGACAGTTATGGTTAATGCTACTGGGTTATCAATGATGTAAGTTGTATTTTTTTTGCTCTTTCTGATATTATAGATGTTTGCTTTCCAAAATTACTGTTTTGTAGAGTATATAAACATGTCATTTAGACAGCTGTGATATTCCTATTGTGCTCTGCTCCTCATTCCCATAATTATATTTGTGACTTTTCAGTAATTTCTTTGTACTTTGAAATATTATCCCATGCATATGCACTTTACCTCTTGTGGTTATATTGTTGGAAAAGTTAAATATTGTTGGAAAAGTTAAATATTGTTGGAAAAGTTAAATATTGATGGAAAAGTTAAATATTGATGGAAAAGTTAAATATTGATGGAAAAGTTAAAGTTAAATATTGATGGATAAGTTAAAAATGAATAGAAAAAGATTTACAAATTATAAAGAACATGTATTGGCAGTAAACAGCAGCTATGAAAATTGATAACCATTTGGAAACATTTCAGAACATAAAGAGGGCAATACAACAAGGATGTGTACTATTACCTGATTTGTTTTCATTGTATGGTGAATATATAATGTGATCTATCATGGATAGGCAAGGAATTGTGGCAGTTGGTTATAACATAAACAACCTGTGTTATGCTGCTGACACCGTCTTGATAGCGACAATCAAAAAGAACTGCAGGAATTAATAGATATGGTGGTGGTGGAAAGTGATAAAAAGGGCTTCAGTTTAAACAATGGAAAGACATAAGTAAGGTGATTTTCAAGAAAAGAATAGTGGGCAATCCTTTGAATAACAGCCACATATTGTGGCGGCCAAAAACACACCCTGACAGGGCCTCAGTCACATGTAAATTGCGGACTTCCTCCGACGAACACATCGCGGCAAAACTAGGATTACTGTCGTTAACAATTTCGAGAAATGCAACAATACTTGCGATAATAGCGACATGGCAGGGAGACCACGCGCTCTGATGCAGGTAAGCGATAGTGTTCTTTGGATTAAACTCACCGCCGAGCGTATCCTCCGCGCCGCTATGCGCAGCGCGGATGGGTGGCTAAACTAAATGGCTGGGAGATACTCTCAGCAGTGAAAACGGCGTTACCATGCGGCACCGATCATATTTAGGCGAGTTTCAATGGCCCCACATCCACAAAGAGCAGATTTTCGGGCACTATTTGCAACTTCTGTGCCACTATTTTCAGATATAAAGGCCTCAGTTATGGCTTACTAGTCGATATTGTCATTTTCCCTTTGTTTCGTTCCTCATTATTTTCGAATTCAAGTTTTTGAATGTTTACAACACACGACCTAATGAGGCCCTGTCAGGGTGTGTTTTTGGCCGCCATAATATGTGGCTGTTATTCGGAGGATATCCGAATAGTGCCTTAATGTATAAAAAGAATCAAAGACGTTATTTTACTACAAGTACAGCACAAGAAGATTCTTGACAGTCTTTTATCATAGCATGGAGGGGTGTCAACACTTGAACTAATACATGCAGTTGCAGATCGCAGATTGTGGAGAGGCATGATTGCCCAAGCCAGTCGGCACAGCACTTGTTGATGATGATGTTGTATTGTGTAATTTATTATTGCAGTTCTCAAGGGCTATCTATCTTTAACTTGCTCTTCATTGTTGCAGGTTTATTGCATTGGGCCATATATTAATCTCGTGGTATCATTTTCATTCTCTTAAAACAGTAGTTGGCACATTGTGTTATGGTTTACAGCTAGGCTGTGATATCTGTATCTTTTGGCCCAAAACATCTGATTTCAGCAAATCTTTAACTAGTTTTTTTCTTCATAAAATGCCTGGTAAGGAGACAGTGGGTCTTCACTGCCGCCCAGTAAACAGAAAAGGGCCCTTTCCCCACTTTATTTATGGTGTTAGTGCTAGACCTGTATTATTATAGACCAAACAGCACTCGATGATTAATGTGACCAGCCTCATGCTAGCTATCTTTACTTCCCAGAACATTTCCTGCTGCCTATTTAAGGCTGTGTTGACCAAGGTGAGTTTAGAAGAAAAAATAACAACCAACAAATCCATCTCACTGCAGATTTGAACTCTTGACCTACAGGCCAGCAGACAAGCATCTAGCCGCTACTTTATTTTGGCTGCCCTTCTTGTAATCGCTGATACACTGTCACATTTATTCGCGATTATTTTGTGTTGTGCAGAACCTAATTACATCTCTCCACTTATTCAATTACAGCTTGGCAGCCTTAGCTTGTCTCTACATATTAGAAGTTCAGAAACCAGATTCGGAAAATCCCGTCGTCTCAGCTGTAGGTTCGGAGTCTGGAATAGCGTCGGCAACAGAAACAGCGCCACCTTCAGTTTCAAATGAGGAATCTGCCCCAACAGTTTCCACCAGAGCTAGGCCAACGGAAACAGTAACACTAAGTAGCAGTACAGCTGTTGGAGTGACTAGACCTAGTACTGCAGTAACAACAAACACAGGTATTGTTTCCTGTTTATTGTTTATTTTGGATGTCTGCTATAGACAATAAACAAACGAACATTTTGCTTCTTGACACTCCTTCCTATTCTTATTTTTGTATTTTGTGTTTTTTTTTGGGCACTGTTTTTTCGTAACTTTGTTTTAATTCATTATTGCAGTTCCCGATTATTGTTTTACCTGTTGTTAGTCTTTTGTCGAAATCTTAGATTGCACATGTGTGCCTATTTTTTTCCTTTACTAAATACCTCTCTATATACCTGTGACTACATACAGATGTGAGTCGTGGACTATCTATCAGCTCTTAAAAAAGAGAATAGGGGCTTTTGAGCTGAAATGCTATAGAAAGAATCTCAGAATATCTTGGACAAAGAAGAGAAGAAATACTGACATCTCGAAAGATCTGAACATCAAGAAAGATTGGCTAATAAACAGCATCCAGTCCCGGAAGCTTAAATATTTTGGTCATATCAAGCGCCACGACGGATTGGAAAAAATTATAGCAGAAGGCATGGTACCAGAAGGAGGGGCAGGGACCAACCGACACGAAGAGGTCACGGGATATAGGTGACTCCTTGAGTGTGAAAGTACATTAGGCGGGAGAACTGGCAAGAGACTTGAGTTTCTTTCAGGCAGACTGTGATGAGAGCAACGTTCTGCAAAGGACCTGCTACATGATGATGATGATGATGATATACCTCTTAGTCATATTTTGTGTCTTATTCATATATTTTTCTGTATCAGCTCGATTGTGTGTTTGCCCCTGTTTTGGACAGCACTAAATAAACATGTCAGTAATGCTAATTTTTTAATTATAAATCAAGTAATCTGCTGTTGATCGTATCCATCTTCGGGAGAGTCAGCACAGAACCGATTCTGAACTTTATAGGTAGACAATAAATCAAATGGTTTGGCCAGGTAACAAGATTGGTATCAGACAGGGCACTGCAGAAAGCAAAACTTTACAAGATACAATAGTAACAGAGCCAGAGGTCGACCACGTAGAAGATGGACCGCAGAAATATCGGAGACACTGAAAAGTACTTTATATGAAGGGAACAAAAGGGCCCGTTCCAGAGATCTCTTCCTGCCGTGATGCCAAGAGGCATTCCTGGAGTAGAGAAAAGAAGAACAACAACAACAAGGCCATCTTTCCCTCGTAACTGATTACCTACCTATTGCCCACTTACCATGAATTAACACATATTACTTTCTAGCACCAGGTCCTTATCACATACACAGCAATCAGCCAGTGAATCAGACAGTGTTTCTTGTTGCTGAGTCATCATTAATTTGTAGCATGTCCTTTTCAGAGCATCACTGCCATCTCAGTTCACAAGTCTAATAGATTTGTCACCTCCGCAGCAAATTTGATAACAGTTTTTACTTGTCAACAGTGTTCTTGAAATCCTGTGTCTGTTGTCTTGCTGGTCAACCCCTGCCTCTTCTTTCAGGAACCATATCCTTCAGTTTTAACATATGGCTGTGAGTCCTGGACAATTGGTAGGGAGGCCAAACAATTTCTTGAGGCCTCAGAGATGTGGTTTTACAGAAGAATGCCTAAAATACATTGGACAGCCAAAAAAGAGCAACCAAGAGGTTTTGAAAGAGGTGGGAGCCTGAAGACAACTCATCACAGACATCAGAAGAAGACAGTCATCATTTTTCGGCCATGTTATGAGAAGAGGGAAGATAGAACATATTGTGACCATGGGAAAGATCTGTGGAAGGAGGGATAGAGGAAGACAACGAGAGAAGATTCTTGACAGTCTTGTTGCATGGCATGGAGGTGTGTCAGCACACGAACTGATACATGCTGCAGGAGATCACAGATTGTGGAGAGGCATGATCGCCCATGCTAGTCGGCAAGGCACCTGATGATGATGATGATCCTCCATTACTGTTATCTCTAGATGTGTATATTGCCATAAATGAATCTTTACTTGAAGTGTTTGAATGGTTGAGAATTTCAGTATACATTGTTCTGCTCCTGTTGCAGCTGCAGCGACAACATCGGTGTTATCTCCGGACCAGCCCAGCTACCCACCAGTTGTACCACCATACCCACCCTGTACTGAAGGTTACTGTGAGAAACTGTGTTGTCCTCCCCCGCATGAGGATGGCACAAATGAGGATTCACACGGTGCGTATAAAAAAAAAAATATTAGCATAGAAGAATATTATGGCCTGGAGAGAATCATCTGAGCCGGCTCCTTACACTCAGAGGAAAGGCAAGATGGACATATAACCAGATAATGACACGCACTATCAGTATCGGAACTTTGTGCTGGCTGCTGAAGATGAGGACGGAGCATGAAAGGGAATGCCCTGCGTGCTGTGATGTCAATTATTGACTCAACTCGACTCAGTTAAAAAAACAATAAGCTAGTTGTATTTATATTTTTCAAGCTGCTGTAGAACCAGCTGCAGCATATTTTGGGTTTATGATTTGGCCAGTCAATTTCACATTAAGTTTTACATTGCCCTGCAGGGTCGGCTCTCAACGACACTGTTGAAACAAACAACTTGCGGTCTGCTGCCAAATTTTCTGCAGCTGGGATCACATGCAGCACCATGAAATTACAAAGCATCTTCACCATATCTAAGCCACAGATGCCGCTGAGAGTTAGCATATTACTGGTGTGAAAATTTCAAACCCAGCTTTTGAAAAGCTTGACAAAATATGAAACTCTAAATTATATAGTGTTTAGAACCATGTTATATATTTTTATTTCAAATGATTTTTTTCATTTTTAACATATACCAATGAAAGTTAGGGAACCACTAAAGACATGGAACACAAGTTTAATGCATTCAAAAACAAATGCCAAGGAAAATGATGAAAATAAAATGTGATGAATTTACTCTTTAAAGCCCAAACAACAGTGTGAGCGTAGTTTGAGAAGTTCCATTCTGCCCAAACAACGGTGTCATTGTTAATCGTGTATCTCTTACATTTTGCTTTGCATGCGCGTTCGTACTAGTTTCTAATGTTTGGAGGTACGAATAACCTATTCAGGGAAAGTCACTCTGCCAAAATCCTTTTAGTTTCATTTCTTGGACTAAACCATACGTGGATAATTTGAGAGAAAACAACATCAACATTTTTTTAACAGTTTATTTTCTAAGTTCGTTTTTGAGTGCATTGAATACCAATGTTCTAACCACAAGAACAGGTCGCAGAATGCGTCTTTCTGTGGCCGAAGCTCTGAAATTGTTTCAGTCAGATATTTTTAATTGTGATAATAATAATAAAAATTTAGATTTTTCGGAAAGTGATTCGGACAGTGAATTTTTACCAGTGAAGCTGGGCGATCAGCTGTTCGGAATCTAGCGATTCTGACGAGTTTATTACACAGACAATGTCCCATACTACCGTATTTATGGTGTAAGAGAATGAAAATGCTCTAAACAGAGATAGTACTATACTATGGCTAAGCTACATTGAAATCATCGCAGCTACAGTCTGTAAATAACTGTACAAAGTGAATAGTAAATAGTGTGTGTGTTATGGCTCATTTTTCTGCCATTTTTTCTCTGAAATTTTGCTTGGCAGTCAGTGGGAACTAAGAGCCCCTGAGTGATAAACTAACCTAGAAAGTTATCATAACTTTAAAATATGTTAGGAAATTGAACAAACTTTGAAGTTTTGTTCTCAAATTTGGATATTTACTACTCTTGTGGCTGCAAAACCATGGTAAGTGAAGAATTTTTTTGTGAAATGTTGTCCTTGTGAAATTAACACCTGCTGAATTCTTCTTTTCCACTAACTATAACAAAATCAAACAAACACTTATCATCAGATTCAGAATGTACATTCATTTCTCTTTTAAAAAATATGTACTGTTATAGGGATAAGAAGTATATTACATTCTCTACAGCCTTTCTTGTACACCCACCCCTCTGCCATTTTTGTAAAGGGAAATTAATGTGGGCCATGTCTGTCAAAATTCATGGGCCTGAAAGAGTTAAAGAGGAATGAAGAAATAAGAGAAATGACTAGGCAACCACTAGTATCAACAGTTATAAGACAGAGAAGATGCCTGGGCAGCCACTAGTATCAACAGTTATAAGACAGAGAAGATGCCCGGGCAACCACTAGTATCAACAGTTATAAGACAGAGAAATGTCTAGGCAACCACTAGTATCAACAGTTATAAGACAGAGAAATGTCTAGGCAACCACTAGTATCAACAGTTATAAGACAGAGAAATGTCTAGGCAACCACTAGTATCAACAGTTATAAGACAGAGAAGATGGCTGGGCAACCGCTAGTATCAACAGTTATAAGACAGAGAAGATGGCTGGGCAACCACTAGTATCAACAGTTATAAGACAGAGAAATGTCTGGACAACCACTAGTATCAACAGTTATAAGACAGAGAAATCTCTGGACAACCACTAGTATCAACAGTTATAAGACAGAGAAATGTCTAGGCAACCACTAGTATCAACAGTTATAAGACAGAGAAATGTCTAGGCAACCACTAGTATCAACAGTTATAAGACAGAGAAATGTCTAGGCAACCACTAGTATCAACAGTTATAAGACAGAGAAGATGGCTGGGCAACCGCTAGTATCAACAGTTATAAGACAGAGAAGATGGCTGGGCAACCACTAGTATCTACAGTTATAAGACAGAGAAGATGGCTGGGCAACCGCTAGTATCTACAGTTATAAGACAGAGAAGATGGCTGGGCAACCGCTAGTATCAACAGTTATAAGACAGAGAAGATGGCTGGGCAACCACTAGTATCAACAGTTATAAGACAGATAAATGTCTGGACAACCACTAGAATCAACAGTTATAAGACAGAGAAGATGGCTGAACAACCACTGGTATCAACAGTTATAAGACAGAGAAGATGCCTGGGCAACCACTAGTATCAACAGTTATAAGACAGAGAAGATGGCTGGGCAACCACTAGTATCAACAGTTATAAGACAGAGACATGTCTAGGCAACCACTAGTATCAACAGTTATAAGACAGAGAAATGTCTAGGCAACCACTAGTATCAACAGTTATAAGACAGAGAAATGTCTAGGCAACCACTAGTATCAACAGTTATAAGACAGAGAAGATGGCTGGGCAACCGCTAGTATCAACAGTTATAAGACAGAGAAATGTCTAGGCAACCACTAGTATTAACAGTTATAAGACAGAGAAATGTCTAGGCAACCACTAGTATCAACAGTTATAAGACAGAGAAGATGGCTGGGCAACCGCTAGTATCAACAGTTATAAGACAGAGAAATGTCTAGGCAACCACTAGTATCAACAGTTATAAGACAGAGAAGATGGCTGGGCAACCGCTAGTATCAACAGTTATAAGACAGAGAAATGTCTAGGCAACCACTAGTATTAACAGTTATAAGACAGAGAAATGTCTAGGCAACCACTAGTATCAACAGTTATAAGACAGAGAAGATGGCTGGGCAACCGCTAGTATCAACAGTTATAAGACAGAGAAATGTCTAGGCAACCACTAGTATCAACAGTTAAAAGACAGGATGACGCTATTTGGAAAGATTCTGATAAGAGATGAATAGAGAATCCCTAAACAGGCATTGCAATAGGAAATAGAGTTACTGAGGAAATGAAGGCGTCCAAGAGAAACCATAAGGTAAATGTTGATGAAAGAGGTGAAAGATGCTAGACTGGATTCCATCCATCATATTGAGGTGATTGCACAAAGTAGAACTGAAATGAGAAATAGACTGTTAGCCCTATATTTGGCATATAATGGCACAAAAGGACAGTGAATGAATGATTAAATACACAGACCCACATATTAACATGGAATCTGTATACAGTTATCCATATATGAACATAACATTTGCATACACAGATCCTTATAACTCTGTACCAAATGGAGAAGGTGGGGACTACCAAGGAACTGAAGATGTGCAGGCGGTAACCAAGAATGTTCTGGTAAGTATTTTAGCAGAACATTTTCATCATCATTGCTCCAGTGGAGAATAATCTTCCTCTTCATCTTGCTTTTTGTCCTCCAGAAGGTTAAAGTCTTTGCACCAGGTTTTATCCAGCACAGCTCAGTCTCTTGCAGCAGAATGGCTAGCCGCCCGCTGAGAACGCAACACAGAGCACGAACTCTGTAGCTTTAGAATTGCACTTGTGAAGCGAAGGGTGCAGCCATGAACTGAAACCACGACCTTCAGTACAGATGGCTTCACCACTTCGCCACGGAGACCCCTTTGGAGCATAGGCTCTCGGCCAACTCAGAGAAGTTGCTCTCTCCTTGACTGTCACATACATCTAACCCATGTCCCCACCATTTCTTCTTTAACTTCATTCTTCTCCCTGTGTTTTGTTTTTTGTTTTTTGTTTTTGTCTACCTCTATATCTTTGCTGCTGTATGTTCAACTGTAAGGCTCAGGTTTACTCAGCATGTGTCCTATCCATTGCCAGCATCTTTAACTCTTTTTGTTCTCATCAACGTACCATGGGTGACTGGTTATAATTCATATTGTTTAGGAAACCATGCAATAAATTATGTATGTTTTATATTGAAGGTTAAGTGAAAGATTCTTTAACTCTCTCAGGAGTTATTGCTGATATATCGACACTAGAATCTGTCACATTTAGATATATTGCTGATATGTCAGTTCTCAACATACTGTCTAATATTGCTTCATTTGCTAGGAAAATGAATTTGTATGAAACTGTTTTGAAAAAGTAGAATTAGTGAAAGGAAGTATTGAAATTTTTTTTTCTTAGCATGGCATAGCAGCAGGATCAATTTTTGATTTCCTGTAAATTAAATGAGTGATTCACTTTTTGTGTGATTTTCCTGACCTAATGGTAAGGGAAAACAGAACAGTAACACAGATCTAGAACCTCTGCACTTCTACTGTTATTGATGAATCTGATCCAGATAGTGACAAAATAGTTTTGACATTATGAATAAAAATGCAAGTGCAACCTTTTTTGCCAGCCATATGGGTTGGGATGATATCGGGCATAATCTTTCATTGGATTGTCCCTATCTCAATCAAATGTATCTGAAATTGGGTAGTTCTGAAATTTGACATGTCCCAAAATAATGGTCATAAAATCCAAAGTATGTAGAATTATTGTTTCAAATAAATGCAAGCTGATACATAATTGAAAAGAGAAGAC